CTACTAAAAATGGAGCGACCATATGACCCAGAAATTCCACTCCTAGGAATCTACCCAAACAACACAAAAACATTAATTCAAAATGATACCTGCATCCCTATGTTTATTGCAGCACTATTTACAATAAGTAAGATATGGAAACAACCCAAACGCCCAAAAATTAGATGACTGGAACAAGAAGATGTGGTATACACACACACACACACACACATATACATAATAGAATATTATTCAGTAATCAAAAAAGATAAATTCATGCCATTCACAGCAACTTGGATAGAACTGGAAGGGATTATGCTCAGTGAGATAAGACAGAAGGAAAAAGAAAACTATCAGATGGTTTCACTGGGCATTGGGGATCCCTATATTCTGATCCCAAATAAGGGATCAAGAAAAATAATAATAACAATAATAAATTAAAAAACAAAAGTAACAGGCAACCATAAATCACAGACATTCTGCAGGGGGAGGGAGAGGAAGCAAAACATGGGAGGGAAGAGCACAAGGAACTGTGGTGATGGTGCACAGGTGAACTGGTGGTGAGAATTTTACAGAGAATATACCTGAGAGGAGAAAGCAAACATTGTACAAAAATGAACAACTAGGGGCCTCCCTGGTGGTGCAAGGGGTTAAGTCTCAGCACTACGAAACTACCCACAGCCACTGCAGCATGAGTTGGATCCCCGGTTAGGGAGCTACTCACATGGCGCAGCAGACCTCTCCTGACTCACTGGCTGCTCCCCTCAGCAGTGTATTTCAGTTGCTCTGTCTGTTCTGCTTCCCATTCTGTCTCTGGTGAATCCTCCTACTCCCCCACCCCACCTCTGGCCTACACCCCAGCTCTTATATGCATAAATAAAATAAACCTTTAAAAAATGAATAATTATGTAAAATATGTATTAATTAATTTAAACAAAAAAGTGCTCCCAGCTTTGATGAACAAGCTCTGAGCCTGTTTCTTCATCTATGAAATAGGGAGGGAAAAAGTCCACCTGCTATGAAGAGTCACTAAGGTAACAGACTTAATATGTTATAGTCACCAATCAACTGTCAACTATGACTATTTCAAATGCCGTCCCTCCAAATGATTAGCCATGTGCACATATAAAGGGTATAGAAGGATGGGAGAAGAGTCTTAGACTAAAGTGACACTGGAATGGTCGTGCTCCACCAACTGTGGAACCAGCTCCTCCAGAGAGACACCACTCCGTCTTTAGAAAACAGGTTTTAGTTCGCACTTACTGACTTGGATTCTAAAAACCCAGCCCTTGTGGAGACTCCTGGAGCTAAATGACTTTGCTGTGGTTGGTGGGTGTGCCAAGAAAACTACTCTGGTGGGTCCAGTCCTCCCACCTACAGTGTCAGAGTCTGAGCTGCTCTCTGGATGACATTCCATTTTCCTCCTCCAGGCCTTCCTCAGCCCCCAGTGTGCAGCTGTCTCTTGTATGTCCCTTCGTGGCAGCTGGACCAGAGGCAGCTGAGCAGAAGAAAGTGAAGGGGCATGGTCATTTCTGTCACTCAGGACAGACTTCCTTTGGCTGAGCAGCTGTCAGGTGACTTCTGTGTTTCAGATTTGCTTCCTCATCCAAGGGTGCACCTGCCCTTTTGAAGCAAGGCTCCCTAAGCTACCCAGGCTCACTGTTTATCCCGTTACTTGAAAAAACTATCATTTCAAACACCACTAAACTACTTTGACAGGAGGACTGAATGGGTTCCACACAGAGAACAGGTACCTTCTGGAAATAAAACTCAGTTCTACCATCAAGCCTGAGTGTAAGAGCAATTTTCTGCCCCCATCTCGCAGGCAGAGGGAGACCTGCCCAGGTCTCACAGTAAAAGCAGGACACTGTCCACCACCCTGGGCTTCTAGTGGCTCTGGATGAGGCGTACCATGCCACAGCCTATCCTAGGAATGTGGGGACCAAGTGCCTAGGCTAAGGGGGTTCCCAGGACTCAGGAATATTAATGCTAAAACCAACACTGTCACAGGCAAACCCTGATGAGGAGATGGTCAACCTAGCCTGTCCCCAAAATAGCAAATCTGGGCCAGAGGACACCAGTCTCCCATCCTGCTCTGGATTTGGTTGCCCATGATTTTCCTGCCCATCTGACAGGAAAAGATGCTGGGTATTGAGGGCCACGCTGCTATGAAAAGCCTCCCAGTGCTCTGCCCCATTTTCAACTGCTTTGATCCATTCTTTCAACAGTTTCCTTTCCTCTCAACTATGAGCTTCTGCACAAGAGAAAATGAGGGGAGTAGGACAGATGGTTCTAGGGTTCCCTTCAGACAACCCATATTCAGGGATGCTGTTAACATCCCCATGAATGGCAGAGAATCCCCATGTTCTATCTAGGCTCTGGATTTTTCTCTGTCAAGGGAGACTATTTTGAGCAAAACTTCCCTGTGGCTCAAGAACTATCAGAAGACTGGCCATATCATCCCCTAGGGACTCAGTGACATGTCAGCCGAAAGAGAGAGGTCTGTCTGAGGTATCACTGAGATGGCCTCCGCTGGTTCCTGGCCTGTTTTCCAGAGTTGGTTTCTTGCATAATTGATAGATATAGCGGGAAGTGAGCCAAGCAGGCTGTCCCTTGTCCCCCGACAGCCTGAGAAGTCACATCCAAGGGCAAGTAGGTTAGGTGCCTTGAGGACACAGGATCTTAGAGCTAGGGCAGCCCCCACAACCATCAAAAGCTGCTTTATTCAAGGACTCCCCCAGGACTGTGTGAGAAGGCAGGCTTACTGACCCAACAGAGCACCCCCCCAGGACCTTCCTGTTGAACTTCTGCTCGTTCTGATACCCAAAAAAAAAAAAAGCCATCAGGAATGTTTCCCTTAGTTAAGCATAACCTCCTCTGGGGAGACGCCAACCCCTAATGTCCCAATCCAAGGATGAGAAGCATCTGTCTACCCTGCTCCTTGAACAAAAGGGCACCAGGGGCTGATTGGGAGAAGACCAACACTTAGGGAGAGAGTTGGGCTAATTCAGTCTCCACACCCAGTTCTATGGAAGCAGAACTCATGAAGCTCAACAACAAACATGCTGCTGTTCTTGTCAGGCACCAAGGCAGGCCACGAGAGAACTCCTGCCAGGAATGGAATCTAGAACAGATTCTACATGTAGTCAGCTATTCTCAGATCAGAGGAATCAGATGCTTTGAACACCAAGGCCACAGAGTCTCCATCTTGTGGACCCACAGTGGGCCATGCAGCCGAGATACGCTGGGGAAGAGCTAGCCCTCTCACACTTGGCTAGGAGAGTATCTGGCCCGCCTCTACACCACCCCACTTCCAGAGAGCCCAAGAAGATAAGTAGGCCCAGCTGCCTGTGAGGCTTCTCTTCACAGCTTCTGGGGAGAAGCTCGGCTACTGAACAGGGCTGGAGAGCTGCAATTATTGAGACAGGATAAGAGCTATTTTGGGAAGGAGCCGTCCTGCTGCCAAGGCTTTGACTTCCTAAACTAAAACAAGATGCACAAAGAAAGGGGGTGAGGGTTGGGGAGGACCAGGAGGATTGTGCTCAGTCAAGGGGATATAGTAACCCCTTCTCAAAGGTACAGATTTATATGAAGGGGTGAGCAAGATGGGGGCTATTAAGATACCCCTGGGCTTTGAGGAGGGCTTGAACAACCCCCTCCACCAACCTCTTGCTGACTCTCTCCTAAGACCCTCCAAGAGCATTTATTCAGTGTGTTTCAGTTATTTAGATGTTTGAGCACAGACTTTTTTATATTGTTGTTTAAATGTTTCCTGTCCATATCTTATCTCCCTATCCAGATGGTAAATTTCTCAAGGCCAAAGAATGTGTGTACTGTGAAGCTTCAATACTCTCCCTAGTAGTGCCCAGCACAGTGCTGGGCATCTGAATAAAAACTGTTTATAGAAGGAAGGGAGAGAGGGAGGGAGGAAGGAAGGAAGAGAGAAAGGGAGGAGGGAGATGATTTACTGTCCTGCATGGAGTTAATCTCTAAAAGTAGCTGTTCCCACCCACAGCTGAACCTAGGGCACAGGGCTGGAGAAGAAGGCATGGCAGAGGGGGTGGCAGCCACATTTCTGGCACCTCCTCTTCAGCTGTTCCATTATCTGAGCTGAGACTGTCCCGCCTGCCCCCTCTTAGGTTTTCCATCTGTAGTCAACTGTCCATCCTGGGCTAGGCCGTGGATGGGACCCACAAGAGGCTGCATGAAGCTTTGTGTGAAAGAGAGATGGCCAGTGAATGAATGGAGGCAGTAAGGGCTTGGACTATCTTATCAAACTTGGGCCAAGAGGAACGAAAATACTTATGGGAACTATGCACTGTGAAATCAGGACACTCTGCCAAATTCAGGACAGGGCTGCTGAGAGCAGAGTTCACCTTGTGCCTTTCCAAGCTGAGAACTCAAATAGTGTGTAACCCAGAAAATTGTCCCCTTTCTGGAGTGCCCTAGGCTGGAGAAGGGAGAGCCAAGTGGGGACCAATCCAGTTCTCCAGACAGCCTTCCCACAGAACACTTGCAGGATACAGCCTCTGCCAAAAGGTCTCTACCCTTTCTCTCCAGGGCTGCAACCAGCTCAGAGAGCACCTTAATGTAAATCTCTCTCCTCCACACACCCAACTCCTGCCAACAAGCTGCCCCACAGGTGCGTGACCTGGAAAGTACAGGCTAGATCTCAGCCCACACTTGCCCTCCCTGCCCATTGCCCTTGTGCAGGGAACAGTCTGCCCAACCATTGGGAACAGCTCTGTCTCCCTCCCCCCATATCTGCTGCCATCACAGGGTAAGAGAGAGACTTAGGGGGAGTCCAGGAAGGCTGGAAGGGGCATTCTTACCTCCTCATCTGTTATAATGGAGACGTACGAGCCGGGCATTCCCAGGGGGCAGCAAGTGGAATTCAGAGAGTGCCAACAGGAGGGGAAAAAGAGAATTTTACTGAAGGTATCTAGTGAACTTAGGCATAACCTAGCCCAAATTCCATGCTAGTGCAAGTGGCTCAAAATGCAGCAAGCAGTTACTGAGTGCTCACTGCGGCCAGGCACCACGCTAAGTGATTTTCATATCATAGCTTGGTTAGTCTTCACAAGAACCATAAGAGGAAGCCATATTCCCATTAATAGATGGGCAAACTAATGATTGAAGAGGTAAAATAACTTACCCAAAGTCACAGTCAGAAAACAGTGGACACAGGGCTCAAATCCGATAACATGACTCGAGTGCATACCTACAAAACCTCTACTTTGTAAAGCTTTGCTCCCTCGGAAAAGCAGGGCTGCTCTTTGCTATCCATCACTTGGAGGGCACTTGCTTGTTGGGACTGGATGACATCCCAGGGTTCATCTCCTCCCTAGAAACTTCATGATCCAGAGCCCTGGACTCCTTCATATTATAGGGCTGGGGCATATTTTGAGTCACAACACTCAAAGCAGGAACTCCTTGCATTAAGATTCACTATATCAAGGCAGGCTACCAATTTCCCTCCCACCAGAGAGATCAAGAATGCAAAGGCAGTGGGGGGTTGGGGGAGTCAACAGGCCCTGGAGATACTTAAGGATTCTAAAGTTGACTGTAGGACCCACTGATGGTCTCTAGGCAGAGGCCCATGCATCCTTGCAGACCCTGCTTGGGCAACTGGGATGGGGCCTTGAGGAGGGTGAGAGTAACAAATGAAGGGACCCCTCTACCTGAATTAGTGTGGGGTCAGCCTTGAGTAAGACTGTGAAAGAGGTAGTTTGCTTTGGTGGTTTTTTGTCATTGGATTGATTTTTTTTTTATCATTTTATTGATAAGCACAGCTAAGCTGAAGGCCATGGGCTTAAACTGTTCTTCAATGCAGAAGTGATTACTTCCCACAAAGAAAAAGGGTGTGGGCAGGAGAGAATTTAAAAACACTCTTGAAAATGAAAACTCTTCCAATTTTCAAAGAAAAAACTAATGGCAAGTTAGGCAACATGAGAAACTCCTCTGCTCCTTCAAGTCTGAACCCCAGGATGCACGGTCCTAATGGTCCCAGCTCTGTAGAGAGAGACACCCTCCCACCTGTCCTCCTGCCCCCCAGAACCCCACATTGGACCCACAGGAGGGAAAAGAACAGACCTTTAAGCCACCAGATGACACGGTTGTACATTTCCTCAGAGACATCTGTAAGTTAAGAGATTGTTGCTTTTTTTTCTCTCTGTGGGATATATTTCAGCTACCTAACATCTTAACATCTCCCTTTCTAGCTCCACATTTCTCCACCCAAAGATGTTCTCAGCCCGCTCCTCTCTAAGTAGCTCCTCCAGTTTAGGACTAAAATGTCACATTCCCACTTTCCCTCTCCCTGATTTTACACCTTTCTTGGAAATCTAAGCCCAAATCCCCTACACCTCACCTTCTCAACTTCATTGCCAGAATATTTGAACCAGAGGACCCTTCTCCCTGAATAGCCCTTACCATCCCTCACCCCAGCTGGGTTCTTCATCTCCACTCTAGGGAAGCAGCTTCCCACTCTGCAAATCACTCTCTACTACCTTCCATGGAAAGATTAAGCAGCGTTGCCTGGAAGAATCAATGCCTGATGCCGGCCCAAGCATGGTCATCGATGTCATTAGCTTGGAGCTCAGAGAAGCTGGCAGGGAAGGAATGGAGCAATGGGCTCAAGGGTGGGACTAGCTTTGGCACTGGCAGGAGGGCAGCTCTGAGGCCTTGAATGAAGAAGGGGGCCTTTCCTGCCAACCCCAACATCTCCCACCTCACTAAATCGGGGCTGCACCTGGGCAGTCTGCTTCTTCACATACCCAAGAAGAAAGCACTAAACCTTTGAATAGGCTGTTTGGAGGTGCGCTTGGCAGCCTGTGGCACTTCCCTCATTGGCACCCGGCTACGAGACTCCTTTGGTGGTGGTGATGGCGGTGGCGTTGCTGGTGCTGGTGGTGGTGATGGACTTGCCTTCTCTTTCTGGAACATCAGATCCTCGCAGCAAGGATCTGAGTCCGTTTCACAGAAGTACAAAAAAGGGTCTAAGGGAGGATAGTACTTATAATCATAATCAGGTGTTGTCGGCCGGCTTTGGGGTGTTTCAGCTTCAGGATTGAGTAAGGCCCACCATGAGGAGTCAGGCCCATATCTAGGTAAAGAGCGAGGGGGTAAGGGTCTTGGGGTCAGTTCCAGTTCTGCTTGGACGGGGGTTTTTTGGGAGGGTCCTGGAGATGTGGAGACAATTTCTGGGGCTCTTTGAGTGGGCTGTTTATAGAGGGGCTCCATAGTGACACCCATGGAAAATTTGGGGGGGCTCCCCAACATTGCTCGAGATGTCACACGGTGAGTTGATTGTACTGACTGTGCCCCTGGGGAGATGGTGACCCTGCGACCAGCCTCAGAGTCTCGGACTGAGGACTTCATACTGGAGTCCAATTCTGATGATACAAAGAACTTTGAGGAGGACTTGGTTTCACCGTGGACAGGATACTTCTGGGTAGACTCAGGCTCTGGACGCACTCGGTGTCCACCATCCAGATCTTTAAGGACGGACAGTCTGAGAGATGAGTCCAACTTTATATTCCTCTGAAAGTTCTTAGGTTCTATGTAAGATGAGCCAGCATGACTCATTTCAGACTCCTGGCCGAGGGTCCTTTTGCGGGCTGTCCGAGAGTCTGCAAAAATTTTGCTGCTGCCCTGTCGTGGGCTAGAGAGTACCCTTGAAGATCTGATCTCAGCAGCAGTCAAGTTTTTTCGGAAGGGTTCAGTCTGAACTGCTTCGTCCTTTGGGTGAACCAAAGGTCTGCGGGGAACTCTCACCCCTTGTGGGTACTGGACCTTGGAGGGTGGGTTTTCTTCTTGTAAGAATTGTAAGTTATCCTTCTGGTCCATGAAACTCAACCGGCGAGAGGACTTAACATCTGGGGTTGATGGGGAGCGGGTGTTGTCACGCCATAACTTGCTCTCACCCCCTCTTCGTATTCCTTCATCTCTGGCTGGACTAATATTCCGCTGCACATGCACAGGCTGGGGAGATGCTGTCTGAACCTGCTGGCTCCTTCGATGAGGTGAGGCATAGCGAATTCCATCGCTTTTTGATCGGGTCTCAGTTCCTCGAGAGATGGGTATGCCAGAGAGGCCCGGTCCTGACGGTGGGGAGAAAGATCGAGAGTCTGATGTCGAATGAGTAGTGCCAGGATACATGGCTTCTGATTTTCGATGGGGTGTAGGGCTCACAGAACTTCGGTGGGTTGAGGTAACAGAGAACCCGTGTCCCCGCTGAGGGATTGTGCTAGGAATCTCAGACCCTCTGTGTGCTGAAACTACCTTGGATCCACTTTTATTTGTCTTGACCATCTGAAACATTGTGTTCCTCTGGGGAGATCCCATATTTTACTGGCTGGCTTGTATTTAGGGTCTTAATGAAGCCTGAATATCTACCCTCAGTTTTAAAAGCCGCTGTTCTTGCACTCCCACAAAAATGGCCGTTGTTCTAAGAGTATTTAAAATAGTCCCCTTAGTTACCTGCCTGGTGATGTCATAAAGGGAGTATTAGGAGCTTCCTTCCTACATAACATCCTGGTGTACAGTCATCGTTCTTCAGAGAATCTCAAGCAGTGCCTGCAATAAAACTGTAGATTTGTCTTTGGAGTTGACACCGTCAAGGCTTTAGCCAAGTTCTTGGCAGAAACAGGGTTTCCTGGTGTACAAAGAAGGCTCCAGACTCCCTTACTCTCCTCAGATTCTAGGAATTCTCAAACACTCATTCAGAGAAGGAATTAGACTGGATATCCTACTAAGGCAAGACTACCCAAATCAACCAGGCTGTGTCAACCCATTTTAATAAGGTACATAGTTCAAAGTTGTCCCAATTTTGCTTGAAACTTCACTATGTACACACATAAAAAAAAAAGGAACTAGTCTTTTTCAGGTTTCACAGGTGGCTTGGCTGACTCTGGGGTTACAGGTCATTCACATCATTTTCACATTCCCTGGCCCAGGAGAGGGTAGGATAATAGAAGGAATCTGGAGTTAGTCAATGGTTTCAATCATAAAAATGACTGGTTGTGTACCTTGGACAAGTTATTTGATTCGCCTGAGTCTTCATTTCTTCATCGGGATACCGCTGTCTGGCAAGTGGTTGTCAGACCTTAAACGTGAGTGTCCTCCTCACAATCCTTTCAACTATCCTAATCAGCTGGTGTCTGGTCCTTATTGATTTGAATAACCATTTTGCATAAGAAACACTGCCACCTTTCTTTCCCTTTCACATGCCTCCTCTCTTCTTTCTCATACACTCACAATCCTTTCAACTATCCTAATCAGCTGGTGTCTGGTCCTTATTGATTTGAATAACCATTTTGCATAAGAAACACTGCCACCTTTCTTTCCCTTTCACATGCCTCCTCTCTTCTTTCTCATACACTCCCCACCCCATATCCAACCTTTCACTTTTGACTTTGAAGGACCATTATGGTTATAAGATGGTCAGACTCACTGTTTCTGACTCCTTCAATTCTGCATTGATTAGAGACAAAAACTACACATTTTTTTAAAAGATTTATTTATGTATAGAAGAGCTGGGGTGTAGGACAGAGGCACCGGGTGGTGTGAGAGGATTCACCAGAGACAGAGCGGGGAGCAGAACAAGTGGATCTACTGAAATACACTGCTGAGGGGAGCAGCAGGCGAAGACAGGAGGGGTCTGCTGCACTATGTGGGTTAGCTCCCCAGCCAGGGATTGAAATCATGCTGCACTGGCTGCTGATAGCTTCTTAGTGCTGAGACTTAACCCCTTTCACCACCGGGAAGGCCCCAAAACTACACATTTTTAGGTAACAGGAATCACAAAAAAAATTGAGACACTTTGAGGTATTTACACAAATATTCAGACTATAAAATATTTGCTGGCCATTATATTTTGTTTTACAGAAAAGAATAAAAGTGGGAGAATACTTACAAGTCATACTTTAAAGATACTAGAGGAAAGTCAGGTTGAAGTAAAAATCGTTCTTACTGATTTATACTTATCTGATATCTTGTCATCATAAAATTGAGACTAGTTGACTTGAATAAAGTTTTCCTACAAGATCCTAATTTAAATAGGATTATAATCTTTACTGTTAATCTTTAACCATGAGACTATCACACTTCTTTGTCTACAAAGAATATATTTCTCTTTGTAAGACTATTGTAAGAGTGAGTTTGAACTTCTCCATCAACGTGTTCCCCAACCGGGGAACTAACCCACATGGCACAGCAGACCTCTCCTGGCTTGCCTGCTGCTCCCCTCAGCAGTGTATTTCAGTAGATCTATCTGTTCTGCTTTCATTCTGTCTCTGGTGAATCCTCTCACCCCCTGCCTCCGGCCTACATCCCTGTTCTTATATGCATAAATAAATCTTTTAAAAAAAAAAAAAAGAAGTGGGGTTAACAGACATGTTTTGGAAGTTGAAATAAGTGTGAATGACTGATATACTGATGTGAAGGGTAAAGGAATGGGAGGAATCAAGGATGTCTCCTGGGGTTCTGGTCTGGACGGTTGAGCGGAGGGCAATACAACCAGATGGAAGGGGAATGCCAGAGGTTAAGGTTTAAGATAAACTCAGTTTTGAATATGTCAGTAAGAAACCTGAAAGAAATTCAAGTGGAGATAATGAATATATGGGAAGATGACATATGAGCACAGAGGAGAGGTCTAGTCCTAGACCTCTGGAAGTTATCAGCATATAGTGGAGAAGTTACACATGGGCATGAACAAGGTCTCTTAGGAGGGAAACTCAGAGTGAGAAAAAATAGAGGCACAGTCCCTAAGCGAGACTGAGCTAGAGTACCAGAGCGATATAAAGAAAACCAGATGGTAACATCAGGGAACCAAAGGGAACAAGCTGATAGGTCAAATGGACAAAAACGCCAAGAGTGCTCCTGGGATTTAGGAATACATGAGTTGCTGGTGACCTAGGATCAGCTAGAGAATGAACAGAAAGAGTAGAATTCAGATTACGGTGGGTTGAGGAATGAGTGGAAGGTGAGGCAATAAACACTGCAGGTGTAGACAACTTTTTTTTTTTAAAGAGGCATGTATTTTTATTTATTTGTTTGTTTGTACAAGCACTAGGTACAGTCAGAAGAGCGGGAGGGTGAGAGAATTCACCAGAGCCAGAGCGGGGAGCAGAGCAGGCAGAAGGACCGAAGTACACTGCTGAGGGGAGCAGCGGGTGGCAGGAGAGGTCTGCGCCCATGTGGGACCCTCCTCCAGTGGCCAGGGAGCAGCTGGGGATCGAACCGGTGCCGCAGAGGCTGCGGGCAGCTTCGCAACCCAGCGCTCAACCGCTGCGCCACTGGGGAGGCCCTGTAGACAGCTCTTTTAAGAACTCTAACTGCAGTGGGAAGAAAGAGATGTGGCAGTGTCTGGAAAGACAAGTGGAATCCAGGGAACACCTTTTAAAGATGGGAAAAATCAAAGTGTGTTAAGTGATGAAAAGAAACCAATAAAGAAAGGGTTGAAGCCATTAAAAAGGGATATGATAATCTAAAGATAACCCTGGGCAAACAGAAGATGAAATTGGTCCTGGACTGAATTGAGACACACCTCCTTCACTGCAACGGGCAGGAAAGTGAAAAGAAGAGGTGTATCACAGCTCCATCTCTAGTTCACTATCAGGTGCTCTACCTGCAACTGGTCTTCAGTTCTACGGAACAGGTAGGGTCAGGAGAATAGTTTTGATGGTGGGAAGCTTGGTTCTCATCTGATGGCTTCTATTTTCTCTGCAAAGCTGGAGGTAAAGTCATCTGTCGAATCTTGGTGGTAAGTAAAGAATGGAAGTTTGAAATAATACTGCTGATAGTGAGAGAAGCAGCATACTAAAGAAACACAGTGGGACTGCCATATGCAAGAAAAGGACTAATGTATATATAATACCTGGCACATAATAGGTGCTTCACAACCAATAAACAATATCTACCACAACAATCATTATTTAACATCGGCCAAATTACTTAGTCATTGGCCAGACAGAAGATACTCTGCTGGTCTTGTAGACAAAAGATTACAATCCACGTGAGTGGGAATTTGTGTAGAATTTTATGAACACACAGTTAGATGACATTATAATATTACTCACCACTTTATCATGATATGTCTGCTATCTGTCCTAATATTTCTGTGTATGTTGTTTTTTTAAATTGTATTATTTTCTACTGCAGTTACATTGGTTTACAACTCTGTGTGATTTAGGGATATAGGTTCAAACCTCTTTAGATGTATGTTACCACACGATATCTAGGCATATTGATTTTTTAAGATGTATTTTTATTTATTTATGCATACAAGAATTGGGATGTAGGTCAGAGAAGGGGGAAGTTGAGAGGATTCACCAGAGACATAGTGGAGAGCAGAACAGGCAGATCTACTAAAATACACTGCAGAGGGGAGCAGCAGGCAAGACAGGAGAGGTCTGCTGTGCCATGTGGGTTAGCTCCCTGGCCAGGGATTGAATTCATGCTGTAGTGGCTGCCAATAGCTTGACAGTGCTGAGACTTTAACCCCTGCACCATCAGGGAGGCCCCCTATGCATGCTGATTTTGTCTCACCAACTAGAGAAAGTTTTTTTTTTTTTTAAAGATTTATTTATTTATTCATACAAGCACTGGGTATAGTCAGAAGCATGGGAGGGTGAGAGAATTCACCAGAGCCAGAGCGGGGAACAGAACAGGCAGAAGGACTGAAGTACACTGCTGAGGGGAGCAGCGGGCGGCAGGAGAGGTCTGTGTACCATGTGGGCCCCTCGCCGGTGGCCAGGGATCGAACTGGTGCTTGCAGAGGCTGCAGGCAGCTTCGCAACCCAGCGCTCAACCACTGTGCCTCCAGGGGAGGCCCTAGAATAAGTTTTTTGAGTGGAAGGACTATGTATCCATCAAAATTTCTTACACGTGGAATTATTTGTTAACTATTTTTCTTTGGCTTTCCTCTGTTTACAATGGCAAGCAATAGTTGCCTTCATTTGTACCTTCCTATTCTATTTGTGTTGGGGACAATTTTGAGGGGCTAAGAACTGTCTGAATACGACCATTCACAACAGGAACTATTCAGTTTCACAAAGACCTGTTACTTTCTAAGACAAAATAAAATGTTAGCAGGCTAGTACTGTGCATCAGCATACAGCTTCCAAGAAAAGGTTTCTATTCAGATGTGAAGGCTTCAAAGTGGAAGTAGATGAAGGTACAGCAACCCTCTAAAAAGTAAGCTAAACACATCTGTGCATCTAGCAGTAGTCATAAGAGGCTAAATTAGGGAAAATGTTATCTTAGTCTTAGCACAATTTCCTTCCTCCAAACACCAATGATGTGAAGTATATAATCTGATATACAAAGATGATGCTTCATTACCTTAAAGAGTTAAAAATATCTTGTGTCTTATTCCCACCTTTTATCATGTAAGTCAGCACAAGCTGGGATGGATGGAAATATGGCAATCCTGGCCAAAAGGAAGGCAGAGAGTCTTTCTGTTATAAACCACAGACAACTGGTGCCAGTGTGCATGGTGGGGATAGCAGTAGTTGCTTATTTGTCAAACTTTTACCTGAAATTAAAACCTCTCTGGGTAGTGGTTTTCCTCCCATGAGTCCCAACAACTCAAAATAGATCTTACACAGTGAAAACTTAACTGGTATTAAAAGTAAACATTTTATTATATAACAGAAGTTAAGGTTTTTTGAAAATCTGTTTCAACAAAACCAAAGGCCATTCTGGGCACAGTGAGAAACTACAGTCAAAACTACCTTTCATTTTCCAGAAAGCTGACTGCAAACATATGACTAAACGTGCTGCAAACAGACTGGGCCATGTTTTTATGTCTATTGTGGCAGCTGATCACAGAGTGAGTGATCAAACCATTGCCCTGATGGTGACTGAAGCAGACGAGGGGGGGACAGGGCCTCACAACCAGGACACTCGAGCCAGGCCACGAGTCCATTTCTGGTCCATTTCTGGTCAGTCTGACAAGTCACTCTGATCCAGCACGATTATCCTGTAAGGATGTTGGGGTTTTTTTGAGAACACAAATGTGAGTTTCAAGTCGGTGCATGTTTTTTAAAGACACAAATGATAACCTCATTCTATTCAGTTGCACTGAAAGGGAAAGGGACTTTGACCTTTATAATCAAGGGAGATTATGAACAAAAACTGTATCATGGAAATGCAAATAACTGCAAAAGGATAACCACAGCTTCTGTATTCCCTCTTTCTGTCTAAACTGCTCTAGTGCTGCCTCTATCAAAATTGACATTATTGGGGGCCTCCCCTGGTGGCGCAGCAGTTGAGCCCTGGGCTGCGAAGCTGCCAGCAGCCTCTGCAGCACCCGTTCGATCCCCAGCCACCAGCGAGGGTCCCACATTGCGTGACAGACCTTCCTGCCGTGCCCGCTGCTCCCCTCAGCAGTGTGTTTCGTCAGTCTGCCTGTTCTGTTCCCCCGCTCTGGCTCTGGTGAATTCTCTCTCACTCTCCTGCGCTTCTGACTGTACCCAGTGCTTGTATAAATAAATAAATCTTTTTTAAAAAAATTGACATTAGTGGGCCTCCTGCAGCAGGTTGAGCGCCGTACTGTGAAGCTGTCCGCAGCCTCTGCAGCGTGGGTTCAATTCCCGGCCAGCCAGGGAGAAACCCATGTGGCGCGGCAGATCTCTCCTGCCTTGCCCGCTGCTCCCCTCAGCAGTGTTTTTGGTCCGTCTACCTATTCTGCTCCCCACTCTGTCTCTAGTGAATTCTCTCACCTTCCTACGCCTCTGACTGTACCCCAGTTCTCGTATAAATAAATTTTTTTTAAATTGACATTTTCACCTTATATTTTAATTAACTAGAAACATTAACATTTTAAAAATTGAGCAACTGTGAATTCAAAGCTTTGCCATTAATGTTTATTTAGATACTGGCAAATGTTTAAAGTCTGCTTAGGTTGTCTATGAAGGCTGAACTTTGACCTACAAATATCTGGTATCTCATTACCTGGAGGGTTCAGACCAACCCAGTCGCTTCCAAAAACAGGATTTTAGTTCATCTTGAGGAAAAACACAGGGAGAAGAAAAAAACAATCTGATTACTTCTAGGTCAAAAGGTGCCAGTGTTCGGAAGTCATAGTAGTGCCCTCTCTAGTATACTGTTTTAGCTATAACAGAGATAGGATCTTCTGAAAACACAGTTCATCAGCCTCCCCTCCTAACATTCTGAGCTCTCTGCTACAGCAGTGCATACCAATGTGGCTGGTTCACAAAGTCCCTGCATTATGTTCTCAGTTAACTCAGTACCAGCTAAAGGCTCACACACTGCGGGCCCGTGCCAGTCAAATCCTGGAGAAAACAGAATGCACCCCTGAATTTTAACGACATCATAACGTACAGAGATGTAGTCAGAGTTAAGGGAGCAATCAAGGGACAGCACAGTATGCAGTGCCTAGCAGTGGTGTGAAGCCATTGTCACTCCTAAGTCTGAAGAGGTGTGACGGTGGGGGTGAAGGTGGGACAGGCCAGTTACTAGAACTGGATGAGAACTACAACTGGGAAGGAGTGTCTGCCTTACAGAAAGCTGCACTTGTGAAGGGATACCACTTCAATGAGGTGCTGAGGTACAGAAGTAGGCAGACGGAAAATGTTGTACCCCAAATGCTTTCCTGCATTCTGATCTTCTGCTGGGCCTTCCAAAGAGGAAGCCAACTGGCCAAGAAGTTCAGGTCAAAAAGGGTCCATATCCCGGGACAGAGGAAGGAGAGTAAGAATGGTCTGGAGAAGGGATGAAAGCAATACCAGTTGATCTGAAAGCATTAATGTCTCTAACTTCCTGAGGGGGAGGAATTTAAATAAAAGGCATTATTTAAGAATGGTACATCAGAAGTCTTAAAGGTCTATCAAAATAGTTATAAAGGCTAATTTATAAATCACATTACTTGCAAATTCCATTTAAATTCTACAATTTACGATTTCTTTTTGTATTCTAGATTGTGTGAGAGCCAAATTTAGAACACTTTTTGAAAACACTATACGGTAAGAAGCAAAATATCTTTCCAGACAATATGCAAGATAAGGATGATGAGACTGGCCTAAGGCTTGCTTTAGAAATAGAATTGGAAGTTGTTTTGTGGTGAAGCTATGATTGGCAATTAACAGAAAATCTGAGCTGACCTACAGGAGAAAGTATAGGAGGATTATGTATAGTATCAGGGAATCATTCCAAAATAATTCTGATGCTTATCAAAGCCCAAGAACCACAGGTGATGTGATAAATGATCACTTAGATCACATACCTTCTTCAGAAGTCCCTAAAAAGCTCTCTGATTTCCTTCTTTCTGGCTTGATGCTTGCTTCTTCTTTCCTCTTCTTTTCACCAATTTCTTGTTCCTTGATACTTGTCTCCCTTTAACAACAATGATTTGGGGCATCAAGCCATACGCATAATAGCCAGGAGAACAGAACAGTGCTCTAAAGGCAACATAGTAATAGCTAGCACTAATGGACTGTTCCCCCGGGGTCAGAAACTGATTCAAGCGCTTTAATATGTATTAACTCATTTAATTCTCATGACAACTATGTAAACAATAAACTATCCCCCTTACACAATAAGGAAATTAAGGAACAGGGAACCTAAATTATGTGACTAGTAAGTCCAGGGCTGGGGATCTGACACAGGCAGTCTGTCTCAGAATCTGCTTTCAACCACTAGGGATATATAGTATCAAAGACAAAAAGCATTGTAATTGGTTTTACAACCACCATTTATTTTACTTCCTAAAACTCTCTCTGAAGTGAAATATCTCACTGATATGTCTGTTTAAGATCATACCTATCAAGAGCCTCCCTGGTGGCCTAGGGGTTAAGTATCAGTGCTAGCACTGCAATGGCCTACCCCTATGGTGTGAATTTGATCCCAGCCAGGAAACTAACCCACATGGCACAGCAGACCTCTCCTGTTTTACCCATCGCTCCCCTCAGCAGTGTATTTCAGTAGATTTGCCTGTTCTTTTTTTTTTTTTTTAATAGAGGCATTTATTTATTTATTTGTTTGTTTGTTTTGTTTTTATACATGCACTGGGTACAGTCAGAAGCGCAGGAGGGTGAGAGAATTCACCAGAGCCACAGCAGGGAGCAGAGCAGGCAGAAAGCCCGAAGCACACTGCTGAGGGGAGGGGAGCAGCGGGCGGCAGGAGAGGTCTGCGTGCCATGTGGGACCCTCCTCAGGTGGCCGGGGAGCAGCCGGGGATCGAACCGGCGCCGCAGGAGAGGTCTGCGTGCCATGTGGGACCCTCCTCAGGTGGCCGGGGAGCAGCCGGGGATCGAACCGGCGCCGCAGAGGTCGCTGGCAGCTTCGCAACCCAGCGCTCAACCACTGCGCCACCGGGGAGGCCCCAGTAGATTTGCCTGTTCTGCTCCCCACTCTGTCTCTGGTGAATTGTCTCATCCCCTGCACCTCTGGCCTATACCCCAGTTCTTCTACACAAAAATAAATAAAATCTTTAAATAAAAAAACAACAACAAAGATCACACCTGTCAAAACTGATATGAAGAAATGATTTCTCCAACTCTACAGTAAGCTCTTTAAACCCTACCTCCTGCATCTCCAGGCCCTAGCATAGCACTCAGCTTACTGTTGAGCCCTTGGCTCAACAGATGCTGGCTGGACCACATTCTTCTGTTTTCATTTAATGGATATTAAAAATAAATATATGTGAAAGAGAGAAATAAAGTCAGCTAAGATAAAAAGGATTCTTTCCCCCTACCTCTCATCACTAACAAGATCATTGGCTCCAGAGTGGGAAGGCCTTAGGGTAACGTCTACCTCCACCCCAGTGCCTGACCAGAGCTCTCCAGATCATCCCCATGAGCAGGAGGACCTGCTGGTAAAGTAAGTGGAAATGTAGCCATTTCCCTAGCAGGTAATTATGGCTGTTACAAACTTTGTGCTTTACTGAATAAAAATTTCTTATTGTACAGTTTCTAGTCACTAACTCTGTCCTTTGGGGAAGAACAGAGTAAGCTGACTCTTCACTTTATAGTATTTCAGGTATTTGAAGGCAGCTATCAAATTCTCTACTCCATCTGCTCTTTTCTGGACGAGCCTCCCCACCTCCTTCAGCTGTTCTCATATGACATGGTTTCGAGATCTCTGCCTGTTATGTGGCCATCCTCTTCTGTTTGTGAATGTCCCTTTTAAAATGTGACATCCAAAAAGGAGTCCCATGCGGTGTCCTAGGATCCTCTTACCAAAGTGAGACATCACCTTCACTTGGAAAGAACATTTCTGTCTGTTCAGCATTAATGCTGCATTAACCTTTCTAGCTACTGCATCAAATTGAAGCCTCAAAGATTCACTGTCCATGCCTCCTTAAAGAAGAATTTCCTGAATTCTTCCCTCTCAAAATGCATGCTAAGTGTTAGGTATATTTAAAAATAAAACATACTTCCTGCCTTCAATGAAACTTCCAATCAAAAATTCTCCATTGGGTTCTCCTTGGTGGCACAAGGGGTTAAGACGCAACCTATGAAGCTGTCCGCAGCCACTGCAGCACAAGTTCGATCCCCAGCCAGGGAGCTACCCACATGGTGCAGCAGACCTCTCCTGACTCACCCGCTGCTTTCCTCAGCAGTGTATTTCAGTCGATCTGCCTGTTCTGTTTCTCACTATGTCTCTGGTGAATTCTCTCACCACCCCCACCCCCCCGTACCTCTGGCCTGTACCTCAGGTTCTTGTATGCATAAATAAGTAAATCTTTAAAAAAAAATAAAGAGGTCTGCTGCGCCATGTGGGTTGCTCCCTGGCCAGGATTGAACTCGTGCTGCAGTGACTGTGATAGCTTCATAGGTTGTGTCTCAACCCCCTGCGCCACCAGGGAGGCCCCCAAAAAATAATCATTAAAAAAAAAATTCTTCATTGAATGAGATTGCTTGCATTCTATATTTTGGATCTAAATGTTCACCTTCATCTTTTAGAGAAGTCTAACATTTCCACTTGTCCAGATCATTGGAATCCAGTCTGTCACCCACAACACTGACTCTTAGATTTATGTTACGTAAAAATTTGATAACCATGCTTTGATTTAATTCGGTAGATTTAATTCAAATGACAGATGAAAATGTTGACGGTGACAGGGCCACATACAGCAATCTTAGAGGCTGCTGTCTCTAATGATATCAATCTTTCAGTCAGTATCTTGAGCACTCTAGGTAGCTGGCAGAAGAGAGGTGGAGTGTAGACAGGAGTCAGGGTTGGCTTATCTACAGCAGTGTAATACCATCAGCAGACATGTATTCTCCAAGGAGCTTAGGTATTTTTTAAAAAAATTGAACCTCCCCCTTCCTGGAAAAGAAAAGAATGATTCCCTGATTAACCTTGCAGAGCCTTTGGGGAGATCCTGTGGCACCACGCTGTCCTCAGGTGGCTGCAGCCATCTTTCCAGGTCCTCGTCAAGAGTAGAGTGAGCTCTGTCCAAGGGCAAGTGAACAGAATTGAGATTATAAGTATTTCCCTTCTTCCCTGACACAAATGCATAGCACCTTAGAGTGGGAAAGGATCTTTAAACTTGTGCTTTCACTCTACATATGAGAAAACCAGAGCTCAGCAAGATGGTTACTTAGTTGCACAAGTTACACAGACTTATAGAGGTCCATATGGTTCAATCCAACTGACATGTGCACTAAAGCCCTCCTTTAACCCCTTGACAAAAACCCTCAGCACCTATGAGATCACTACTCATTTAAACACAATAGAGGAATTTCCTATCATTTGCAGCTGAAAATATTCTGCAGGCCTTCCCCCAGGATCCACAGGACCAGGATTAGGATGAGGCAAGTAGCATTAGTGCAGATTCAGATCCTGTCTTTCTTTAAAATTTAGCTATTTTTGTTCATCATGGATTTTTCTGCACTGATTTTGATATTTTTTAAGTGGCACCGAAATAGTTCAATCTTGATCCCTAAGTTCTCTGGTGTCCCCTTCAATATTGTGCCCAAGGAGTGTTCTCACTCATCTCACCCCTGTCCAGGCCCTGAATGACAGGACAATGCAAGAGAAGTCAGGAGGCAAAGGTGAGCCAAAGTGGCTTACCTTACAACACAAGTCAAAGGAGAACACCAAATCCGGAAAAGAATCAGGTTTCTTGAGGCAGTCCTCTGATTTTAGACTGAATTGTCTGGGTGACTGCCCCCATTTTCTTTAATTTGCTAAGAAAGATCTAAAAATTCTCTTCTACAGCTTTTGAATAAATTGTTTTGAAAGAAGCTGAAACTGGTCTTTGCTTAGAAAAATGATGTAAAAACAAAAAAAATTGACAAAACAATAAATAATCCTATTAAGAAATGAGCAAAGGATTTGAATAGACATTTGTCCAAAGATATCCAAATGGCTACTGAACATATGAAATGATGTTCAACAACACCAGTCATTTGGAAAATGCAAATCAAAAACCACAATGAGATATCATTCATACCTTTAGGATGGCTACTATCAAACAAACAGAACAAGTAGTGGTTAGGATGTGAAGAACTCAGAACCCTTGTGCACTGTTGGTGGGAATGTAAAATGATGCAGCTGCTGTAGAAAATAGTATGGTATTTCCTCAAAAAATTAAAAATAGATTCACCATATGATGCAGCAGTATGTCTGGGTATATATCCAAAAGAATTGAAAGCATAGTGTCTTGAGGTATTTGTATGCTCATGTTCTTAGCAGCATTTTCACAGCAGACAAAAGGTGGAAGCAACCCAGTGTCCACCAACAGGTGAATAGATAGTGTTCTCTCTCTCTCTCTCTCACATACACACACACACAAATGATATTCAGCCCCAAAAGGAAAAAACTCAAAATACATTACATCAATGAACCTTGAAAACATGCTAAGTGTAATAAGCTGGCCACCAAAAGACAAACACTGTATGGTTTCACTTATATGAGATGTCAAAAACAGTCAAACTCATAGAAATTGAAAGTAGAATGATGGTTTCTAGGGATAGGGGGTAGGGGAGAGGGAAACTGTTTAGTGGGTATAGAGTTTCAGTTTTGCAAGATGAAGTTCAGGAGACAGTTGTACAACAATGTGAATACACTCAACTCTACGGAATTATACACTTAAAAATTGTTAAAATGGTAATTCCATGTTATGTGTATTTTATCACAATTAAAAAAATTTAAATGAAACAATAAAACCTTTTAGAAATAGGGGCTATTAGGATAGTATGGAAAACACTAGAGGGAATGTCTTGTTTCTCAACATTAGGAAAAAAACTTACAAACAAATAGAGTTTTAAAAATTCTTTTAAAAGTCAACTTTTCTGTTACCTCTCTGTATCTTCTTCTAAATCCTGAGTTTCTTTGGTCCAAAGCATACTGCTATCGTCTCTCTTACTTTTAGTTTCTTGTTCTTCTAAGTGCCTTTGATCTAGAAACAGTTGAAAGACTTAAGCTGATTAGAGCAACAGAAAAATACTGAAAAATCCTGTCTTAAAGCGCAAAAAAATAAAGGCTAATCAGTGGCCCCTGAGGTAAGCAATGACCAGTTCCCCTCTTCCCAGGACAGCAGGGGCCAGGTGGCAGTCTGCAGGGCGCCTGTATTCACAGCAGCTGCTTCTGGGGTCTTGGGAGCTCTTTGGTGCCAGAAGAAGCTACAGGACATCTTATCTGTGCCAAGGCTCGAGAGAGTCAGAGAAAGCAGAGGAAAGAAAGGGCACATAAAAGAGGAGGCAAGAGACCCTGAAACAAATCGCACAAATTTACTCTTGCAGACCATCCTGTTGTGACTTGTTAGATGTTTCCAGGGAGGAATCCGGGTGGGGAAGTACAGTGCCCTTTAATGTATGCCAGGCATTTTACATATGCTATCTCACTCCATCCTATTAGTAGTCCTCTGAAGGGAAGGGAACGAACATTTGTTAAGTATCTTATAACGTAAGAGGCACTGCACGTGGAGCTATTTATTATGTCCATCATGAGGTAAGAATTATCCTCCCTGTTTTACAATGACGGTGACTGAGAGTTACAGCCATTAAACAGTCTGCCATACATCCAAGGTCCACACTCCCCCAAGCGAGCCCCCTGTGCTGCTCAGGATAGCATTAAAACAAAACTGGAAGAAAAGACCTGGGTGGTTCCAGCTTACCTCTTGCCGAGATGTCCAGATGACTCGCTGTGTTCTCACCCAACACAGTGCATGGGACCTGCTGCTGCTTCAAGTGCTCTGTCACGGAACAAAAGGCAACTTATTTCTTCCTTCCCACTGCCCCTTCTCTAGGACAGTGATTCTCAAAGAGTGGTCCTCAGACCAGCAGCATCTGTATAACCTAAGAAGTTGTTAGATATGCAAGAACTAGAAACTCTGAGCTTGGAGTCCAGTAATCTGTGTTTTAACATGTCTTCCAGATGATTCTGATGCCTGACAAAATTTGAAGGAGGACCACTGCTTTAAGGCATTCCACATTTAAAAGGAATTCTTCGGGCCTCCCTGGTGGTGCAAGGGGTTAAGGCGCAACCTATGAGGCTGTCTGCAGCCACTGCAGCATGAGTTCAATCCCCAGCCAGGGAGCTGCCCACATGGCGCAGCAGACCTCTCCTGTCTCGCCTGCTGCTCCCCTCAGCAGTGTTTCAGTGGGTCTGCCTGTTCTGTTCCCCACTCTGTTTCTGGTAAATTCTCTCACCCCCCACACCTCTGTCCTGTGCCCCAGTTCTTATATGCATAAATAAATCTTTTTAAAAAATCTTTAATTAAAAAAAATAAATGAAAGGTGGGCCTCCCCAGTGGCGCAGCGGTTGAGCGCTGCGCTGCAAAGCTGCCCACAGCCTCTGCAGTGCCAGTTTGATCCCTGGCCACCGGCAAGGGTCCCACATGGCATGCAGACCTTTCCTGCTGCACTCGCTGCTCTCCTCAGCAGTGTACTTCATCAGTCTGCCTGTTCTGCTCCCCACTCTGGCTCTGGTGAATTCTCTCACCCTCCCATGCTTCTGACTGTACCCAGTACTTGTATAAATAAATAAATATATATAAATCTTTTTTTAAAAAAATAAATAAATGAAAGGAATTCCTTAAGTATGACAAAATCGCAGACAACACTAAAATGAAAAATAAAATGAAGACAGGTTACAGTGGCAGAGCCTATGTCATAGGTGCCTTGCCTAACTGACATACAGTGATTCAAGATTAATATTCACAACTAATCTTCACAACAGGATCAACTGTGTTACTGTTATTCTTGTTTATCAAATGAGGAAATGAAGGTAAAGAAAGGTTAGGAACCTTGCCTAGAGTCACACAGACAGTAAGACATTGAATTGGAACTTGAATCCAGTCTGGCTCTAAAATTTATGCACTTTTTTTTTTAGTTTTGTGATTTTCATTATCTTCATTATTATTATTTTTGTGTAGAAGGTCTGCAGTGAAGGCCACAGGTACAAGAGGCGAGAGGATTCACCAGAGACAGAGTGGGGCGCAGAAGAGGTGGAGTCACTGAAATATACTGGTGAGGGGAACAGCAGGCAAGACAGGAGAAGTCGCCCGCTGTGCCATGTGGGTTAGTTCCCTGGCCAGGGATCCAACTCAGGCTGTAGTGGTAATACCGCTGAGACTTAACCTGTAGGCTACCAGAGAGGCCCTAAAGTTAATGCTCTTAAAATCTCTATGTTATAATTTGTCATAATTCAAAATGTTCCCTATCTTTATTGGCCTATATTTCAGATTTTTTAATCTAATCTATATAAAGACAAAGGAATTTCCAGTTCCTAAAGAATTTATCGCTAGTCCGAGACAAGCCACAGTGAAACTCAGTACACTGCTTAGCATCTGTTAGATGCTCAGTCTCCTTAAAATGTTCCCCAGAACAGAGCAAAGCAGAGAGAAGACAGCTGCAAGGCGCACAGACAGGAAACCCAGGGGGAAACCCGGACTTGCCGGGGAGCACGGATGATGGTACAGCTGCAGTCTCTCCCTTCCTGCAGGACAGGAAGCAGGCATACCTGGCAGCTCCTCACAAGATCATTTCATGAAATTTGAAATTTAAAAAAAGTCATTTGCATCCTTGTTCAAAGTAGTTCCTTGTTGATCTTCAAGGATCACCTGTATCCTAAGGTGCTAAAGGATATAGGCTCCTCATAGGCCCTTGTCAGAAGCCAACAGCATTACATGTGTCAGCAGGTGTCAACTCCAGGTCACTCCCCAGCGCTCTTTTAAGGGGAAAAGGCAGCACAGCCATGACACATAATAATTTCATGGGAGGGACCAGTATTAGGAGAAACTACCCAAGCGCCCTTGTGACCCACCTTAAAGTATAGACATCACCTCGAAATCTGGCCCTGATAATGCCCATAAGTAAAATAAGGGTTCCACAGAACATGCTGGGGTACAGCAGTACCATGAGGTCATGCTGTTTAAATGGGGAGGTCCACATCGTAAATGCAGAGAGGACAGCAGAAGCCAAAGGAAAAGTAATGCTAAGGTCAAACTGCAAATTAATCTACAAGTGTCTTAAATCATGACCGAGAAATAGATGACACTGAGCACCCACCTGAGCAGGATGTGCGAGAGTGGGACAACACTCTCACAAGTAGCAGTTTCATCACTGCACTAAGGAAAGCCAGGGTGGAGCTGGGGTCCTAAAAGCCTAAACCAACATCCCTGTGACCAGGACAATCTGGTGGCATTTGGGGAGGGATGCAGCGTGGCAAGGACCTATGATTACAGAAAAAGGAAATCCAAGGGAGGTCCTGGCAGCTCTGAGTGGCTCTACCATGTTCACCAGGACAATGTTCATGGGTTGGGGTTGTGCTAGCCTAGAAGGTAGCTTCTACTGATTAGGACCAGATAAGTTCTCACTCACCTGCCTCTTCCCAATGAGACACAAAACCTCAAAGACCCTGATAACTCTGTCCCTCGACAAATTCTCTAGAGTTCCTGTACAAAGAACCGGACTATTAAAAGTTAATGAGATGCATACTTTGTGGGTGAGGGATTGGCAGATGAGGCTGTCAAGAAGAGTCAGGTCTTTCCTGGAGAAGCAAACCACCTGCCCCAAATGTCTCTATAACCACGCATCATTTATTTTTCAGCATCAGTTCCACTGGGCAGGTCCAGCCCATCAGCTGCAACCAAACATGAACTGGCTACAGCTCAGTCTCTGCCTGAAATGGAAAATTCTGGTCTCATTAGGTCTTGTGCCCTCTTGAAAGGGAAGTAACCATGATGCCAATATCTTTAATACCGCCTCTATAACAGCAAGATTCAAAGGATAGGATGTTTTGGTCTGAGTAGTCAAGACTTCAGGACTCCAAGGTATGCAGGTTTGATTCAAAAAGGAGACATGAGAGGGCCTCCCTGGTGGCACAAGGGGTTAAGCACAGCACTGTGAAGCTGTCCGCAGCCTCTGCAGCCCAAGTTCGATCCCCAGTGGGCCAAGGAGCTACCCACATGGTGCAGGAGACCTCTCCTATCTCGCCTGCTTCTCCCCTCAGCAGTATATGTCATTCAGTCTGCCTGTTCTGCTCCCCACTCTCTCTGGTGAATCCCCTCACCTACCTGCACCTCTGGCCTGTACCCCAGTTCTTGTATGCATAAATAAGTAAAATCTTAAAAAAAAATAAGAGGAGACATGAGAATACTTTTAAGAGAAGAAGTTCATCAAAATAAACATTTTGCATGTTGCTATCTCCTCTTAGGAGCATTACTCTAGCTCCTTTTAAGTAACAAAATGAAAAAGACACAGGCCAATCATCTTGGCCAGGCTTCCATAATAATTTGAGGCCCATTTTATTGGAAAACTCCCCTTTCCTGAGTTTTGGACATTCCATCAGACCATCACAGGATCTTTTGTACTACTGCTCACACCTGAGACAGGAAATCATGTCGTGGTCAGTGACCAGCCCTAACAGGGGCAGGAAGCATAATCTATATTGAACATCCCTTACCGATTTCGTCAAGTAGCTCCTGGGATGGTGGCGGTAGTTCATCAATGTGATGCTGTGAGATGGCTTCTACTAGTTCTTCAAAAAGATAAATGGGAAAATGACGTAATACCTTCCTGGACCTCAACTGGACTTTCTAGGTTCCAACACGGATTTGATTTAGGAGTTCATGATGAAACAAACTATGGATTTTCTAGGCTCCCACATGGATTTGATTTAGTATTTCTCAACAATGAAACAAACTAAGGTGAGGAGAAAGTCTTTCACATTATTATTATTTCTATTTGAGACCTAATCTGTGAGTGGTCTAGCTCCCCCTTTTACCCAAACCCTTTCCTATATCACCCCTTAACCCAATTCTGCTTGATCTGAACCTCTCCATCCCCAAGGATACTTGAAGTAGGTGAAGTACAAACACTTACAAAGGGGTTGGGGGACCAATCTGGACTAGCACTTCTGGAGGGATATAGAGGTTGTGGACCAGTCAGAGTGAACCAAAAAATCATGAATTGTGAAGACTCTCTCTACAGATTACCAATCCAGGGATAAACTAAGAGACACACTTTGGGTCTTTCCCTAAGAGCTCAATTATAAGATCAACTGAGCATAAATCACAAAATCCCCATGCACTGGCAGAAATTCTAAGAGTTGCATCAAAGACATAAGACATTAAAATTAATGCAGTAGGGCCTCCCTGGTGGCGCAAGGGATTAAGCACCGCACCATGAAGCGATCCACAGCCTCTGCAGCACAAGTTCGATCCCCCACCAGCAAGGGATGGCACAGCAGACCTCTCCTCTTTTGCCCGGTGCTCCCCTCAGCAGTGTGTTTTAGTCGGTCTGCCTGTTCTGTTCCCTGCTCTGTCTCTGGTGAATCCTCTCAACCCCTCACATCTCTGGCCTGTACCCCAGCCAGCTCTTGTATGCATAAATAAATAAATCTTTTAAAAAAAATTAATGCAGCAAAGGCAGTATGTCTCAAGAGCTGTTAATACTCTCTCACACCCTTTGATTTTGAAACTGTCTTCTAAGTATCTATCCTAAGGAAAGGATCAGAGGTGCAGATAAATTTTTACAAAGAGCAAAAATTAGGAAACCATATAAATCTCTAATTTAAGGGCATGGTTAAGCAACACAAGTAGAATGGGCTATTTTGTAGCCATGACTTATATTTGTAAATGATTTTTAATGACAAGGGAAAATACTCAAAATATATCATCAACAAAAAGAAGTAGATCAAAGCTGATTATCATATAATCTCATCTCTGCTAAAAATATGTTTCTGTACATTTCTAAAAGCATGAAAAAGATATGTAACAAAAAAGTACATCAGGATAAAAAATGCTAAGGTTAAATGGTGGTTTTCTTTTTTAAGCTCTTCATTATTTTCCAGGTTTTCTACAATGAGTACATTTTACTTTTATAATCAGGAGCAGAGGCAGTAATAGCATTTTCATTTGAATCTAATGCAGCATCAAAGATGAGAATAGGGCCTCCCCCGTGGCGCAGCGGTTGAGCGCTGGGCTGCGAAGCTGCCTGCAGCCTCTGCAGCGCTAGTTCCATCCCAAGCCGCTGGCGAGGGTCCCACATGGCACGGCAGACCTCTCCTGTCGTGCCCGCTGCTCCCCTCAGCAGTGTATTTCATCAGTCTGCCTGTTCTGCTCCCCACTCTGGCTCTGGTGAATTCTCTCACCCTCCCGTACTTCTGACTATACCCAGTGCTTGTATAAATGGATGAATAAATCTTTAAAAAAAAAAAGATGAGAATAAGGCTCCTGACTGACTATCATGAACTTGTATTTTGATATTAAACACAGTACCTTTTGGCAAGCTCCTTTTCTGGGTGGCATGGAATAAGGTGTCAGGTGCTTTAGCAATGACAGAAGAACCAGTCCTGGTAAATGCAGACAACCTTTTCTACAAGATATAAACATGGTAATTTACACTTGGTATTAAGTAAAAAAGTCTGTGAAGCTCAATCATTTCCAAGATTAAGCTTGCATGTCACTGATGAAATAAGATAAAATAAGTCACTTGTAGCTTGAGTCAAACTTATTCAAATGTCACCCTCCAGGGAAGCCTTCTCACCTCTCTTGATTTCTGTAGCACTCAGTACCTACCTTTATACTCCAGCCTTTCTCACTAGGCTGTGCGGCCCTATGGGGCAGGGACTGTGTCTTCTGTATTCATACCTCTTTTCCTAGAAGAGGGCCTGGCACTTAGAACCAGCCCAATTAACACTTGTTAAATAAAGCCACAAAAATTCTTTGTCATTTCTCTATTTCAAAGTGAAATAGAGTCAAATGTAAGTCAAAAGCCCAAAAGAAGATGATTTTTATTTAAGGTCCACAGCAAGTAATTGATTGGTCCACAGGATGGTCAGTTAGGTTTCAGTAAGTAAAGAACTTAATAGTGTTCTTGGAAACTACACATATGAAATATGAAGTGGGGGAGGGGAGGAGGAAGAGAAAATACAGGAGCGGGAGGAGGGAAGAGAGGAGAAGATAGTATACAATTATGTGTTTTTGCTGCAGACTATTAGTTCAGGAGTTCAGAGAAGGGGTGGTAAACCAAAACTCTCAGAGGACTTTAAATATGAAGCAGAACTGGAACCTCCTCAAGTGGGCTGGGTATGGTCAAAGAGAACAATGGAGGTGAAGGTAGTATCATAAGCTGTGACAGAAGCGGGCTGTTTAGATCAACTGTCAAGCATTACATAGGAGGGAGAAAAGGGGAATAAAAGCACAAAACCCAATATCTATCCTGTAACACAGGCTCCAGGGGGAGCCCCAGGAAAGCCTGGAGATTAAAGCATAGTTCTTATTTTCTTTGTAAAATGGATTTGGAGAAATCTTGGCACTTTAGATCACTGAGGCCTCTGGGTTTCCAGATATGTGTAACACAGGGTTAGAATACTTACATCAGTCAGTCTTGAAGGGGAAGTTTCGGAAGACATAAGAAGGGAATCTAGACTCTTAGCTTTCTCTCGAACAGATATATATCTATCAGACCAAGTTCGAAACGATTCTTGACTGTTACAGAAGGAGGTAGATCCTGTTTTACCCTGAAGTGTGATACTTTCAAGGCAGTCTTTGTACCTACTGGCAGCTGAAGAAATGGATCCTGTTGTAGAAAAGATGGCAGTAAGAGTCTGGATCCCTTACATTATTTAAAAACAAAAACCCACAAAATTCTTACACCCATACCAAGGATTCTAAATTGTTAATAACTAAAATACTCAACGATCTGAGGCACAGTTCCTCAGATATAAAAAAAAAAATGGCAGTCTGTATAGACTTGGCCATCAACACAAAGGGAGATTATTTAAACTACCATTTATTGAAAATAACAATATTAAGAGAGGATATTTGATGCTGGCTGTATGTAGCTATAGGATCAAATCTGTATATGTTTAAGCACAACTTACAAACTAGAGAATCCTAAGCTTTTGCACCAAATGCAATAGTGATTAGAGTACACAGCAGACCTTGCATTGGTGATTCTCTACCATGAAAGTGAAAAACCTTCCAGCTGCTCCCTCTCCCTGTGGCTTATGCCCTTAAGTAACACCCCTGCACTGGGAGCAAACATGAGCTGGTTTCCCATAGTCATTGGGCAGGAGCTGTTAACTCTTCTCCCCAAAATGCTTCTCATCCCAGCAGGTGATTACCTGGGCTAAGCGGAGTGCTGACACTAGTAGGTGCATGTTTTATTTTGGGTGTTTTGCATGAAATTTCTTTAAAAGAACCATCTCGTTCACAGGAGATACTAGATAGGTCTTGAATGTCTGTCAATGATCTAAAGAATTAAAATAAAAGCATATAGTAATTAGAAGAAAATATTTCAAAAAATTAAACAGTATGTTCCTGGGAGTTATTTTTTTTTTAACTTTTGGTTTTTTAAAGATTTATTTATTTATGCACACAAGAGCTGGGGTACAGGCCAGAGATGCAGGGGGTGAGAGGTTTCACTAGAGACAGAGTGGGGAACAGAATAGGCAGAATGACCGAAAGCACATTGCTGAGGGGAGCAGCGGGCGAGTCAGGAGAGGTCTGCTGCATCATGAGGGTTGCTCTCTAGCCAGTCAGGGATCGAACTCCAGCGCTGCAGAAGCTGTGGACTGCTCCATAGTGCGGTGCTTAACCCCTTGTGCCACCAGGGAAGCCCTCCTGGGAGTTATTTTTTAAGTCTGATCTTGACCAAAATCTTAATTTAACATGAGGCCAAAATTAGAGAATATCTTATAGTTGTTTGTTTTATTGCATGTCTTTGTTATGCATTTCTCTTTTCACCATTTGAGACCATTCTTTTAGGTCAATTTTATGGCTTTTAAAAACCCAAAATACTTAATTTTATCTTATATATCTTAAAGAGAATATTATAAAAAGAAATCCTATCTTTAAACATATCTCTACAGCTGAAAATAAACCATTTCCATAAATGAAAGGATATTTATGTGGAAAACAGATTGAATCTATCTCAAGTATAAACTTTTATTATTATTATCACTGTGTTTCCTTGATTGTAAGATGCTGTTAATTATAGATCACATTACCATAATAAAATCTTTTCATAGTTCACATCATCAACTTAATAAAAGCTTTTGGTAGAGAATAAACATGCTCACATTAATTGTATACATAAAAATGGGAAGAATGGGGCCTCCCTGGTGGCAAAAGAGTTAAGCACAGCACTGTGAAGCTATCCACAGCCTCTGCAGCACAAGTTCCATCCCCCAGCTGGCCAGGGAGCTACCCATATGGGACAGCAGACCTCTCCTGACTCGCCCGCTGCTCCCCTCAGCAGTGTACTTCAGTCAGTCTGCCTGTTCTGCTCCCCACTCTGTCTCTGGTGAATCCTCTCACCCCCCCACACCTCTGGCCTATACCCCAGTTTTTATATTAATAAATAAATCTTTAAAAAAACATGGAAAGAATGTAGGGCATCCCTGGTGGTGCAAGGTATTGGCAGCCACTGCAGTATGAGTATGATCTCCGGCCAGGGAGCTAACCCACATGGCATAGTAGACCACCCCTGTCTCGCCCACTGCTCCCCTCAGCAGTGTATTTCACCTGTTCTGCTCCCCACTCTGTCTCTGGCGCATCCTCTCACCCCCACACCTCTGGCTTACACCCCAGCTCTTGTATACATAAATAAATAAAATAAATCTTTAAAAACAATGGGAAGAATGTAGACCGTTCCAACAAGGAACTACTATTCCCCAAAACCAAGACTTTACAACCCATGCTTAGGCAACCTTTGAAGGCCATACATGTTTTTCTCTTTCAGTTCCTTTGGTGACTCCTTCAATGTCTCCTCTTGTTCATCCTCAGTACTATAAAAGAGAAAGCAAGAAAATCACATGACTCCCCTGTCAACAAAGTGCATAACTTGGTACCAAGGACCAGTTTACCAGTCCTGTGCGAGAAGCAGTGGGAAGGACATGGCAAGTGTGAGTTCTGGTTCTGGCTCTGCTGTGACTAGCCCTGTGTTCTCAGGCATGTCTGGGCTTCAGTTTCCTCTCCAGAGACTGAATAAATCCTTTCTACGGGTTAGTTCATCTGAAATCAGTCAATAATGTTACATGACAGTGAGTTTCTAAGGAATTCAATGGAACATGGATTTTGCCGAGACTGGAGATTGGAGGATGGGGCAAAGACCTGAGGACTTAGCAACTGTGAGAGCTTCCTTGAACAGAGTGTCAAATGATGTCAACAGAGGTTTAAGCCAAAAATCAGCCAGAAAATAAAGAAGACAAACTTAACTTGTTTCTACTTTAAGCACTATTTAGGATTCAGTTCTAATATTTGATGAACAAATGACTATAAGCCAGATCCCAGGTTAAATCATTCCATACATTCTCACATTTTTCATATCTGCAACAATCCCGTGAAACCAAAACTATAGAGTATGGATTTGTGGATTTGACCCTGAGTTACGACTGTAAATTCTGCTCATTATTTATTTTTCCTTCCAAGCACATAGTAAGACAGCATTTTTGGCACCCTAATTTATATAAATGGCCACATGACTTGTTGTAACCAATGAAATTTGAGTTAAAGTGATATGAATCACTTTGGGGCAAAAACTTTAGAAGCAGCACTCAATTCACCATGTTCCCTTTTGCCTGCTTCAGTAATCAAGGAAGCACAAAGATGGAGACTCCTGTCTGATCACCTTCAGCCAAGCCATCCCATGATAGACATGAAGCATGAGCAAAAAAGAAATTTTTATTGTTTTTTTTTTTGGGGGGGGGTGCTCCCTGGTAGTGCAAGGGGTTAAGACACAGCACTATGAAGCTATCTGCAGCCACTGCTGCATGAGTTCGATCCCTGGACAGGGAGGTGACCCATATGGTGCAGCAGACCACTCCTGACTTGTCAGCTGCTCCCCTCAACAGTGTATTTCAGTAGATCCACCTGCTCCGCTCCGCACTCTGTCTCTGGTGAATCCTCTCACCCCCCCACACCTCTGACCTGTACCCCAGTTGTTGTATGCATAAATAAATCTTTAAAAAAAAAGAAATTTTTGTTGTTTAAACAGTTAAAAATTGTGGGTTTGTTCATTATGTATCAATTGCATGATCTAGCCTATCCCAACAGATACTGACATAATGGGGATGACAGTATGTACACATATATATACTGTTGTAGGAATTAAATCTGACAAAACAGAGTGCCTGCATATGGTAGCTGCCTAGGAAATACTAGTGATCATTATTATATGTAAGGAAATTGAGGTGGGGGAAGTAAATTGAATGCTATTTGCCAGGCACTTTATATCCATATTAATTTTTTCTTTTTTTTTAAGATTTATTTTTATTTTTATACAAGAACTGGGGTACAGGTCAGAGGCGTGGGACGGTGAGAGGATTCACCAGAGACAGAGTGGGGAGCAGAACAGGCAGATGGACAGAAGCACACTGCTGAGGGGAGCAGCGGGCGCGACAGGAAAGGTCTGCTGCACCATGTGGGATTCCCCCTGTCCGGCCGGGAATCGAACTAGCGCTACAGAGGCTGCAGACAGCTTTACAGCACTGCGTTCAACCTGCTGTGCCACCAGGGAAGCTCCAATTTTTTATTTTTGAATTAAACTTTCTATTTTGAGGTAACTGTAGAGTCATATGGTAGCACCTTACAGATCTACAGAACAGTACCCTGACCACAGTGCAGATAGGGATACAGCCACCCTACAAAACAGCTCCACTGCCTGCCAGGATTCCGCACATTGCCCTTTTATGGCCAGTCTACTTCCCTCTTATTCTCCACTCCTTCCTTAACTCCTGGAAGTCCCTCCTCCTGTTATTTCTATAGTCTTGTCATTTTAAGAATGTTTTATAAGTGGAATCATATAGTAAGTAAGTATTGGGGACCTCTTTTTTCACTCAGCATAATTCCTTGCAGATAGTTCCCAGTTGCCGCAAGTACCAAGCGTTGATTCTTTTTATTGCCGAGGAGCAGCCCAGCGTCTGGATGTACCACAGTCAGCTTAATCATTCACTTGTTGGACAACATCTGGGTTTCCAGCCCGTGGCTATTACAAATAAAGCTGCCACAAACATCTGTGTATGTGTCTGTACAAACAAAAATCTTCATTTCTCTGGAATAAAGCCTGGGGGTTATATCATTACTCTTAATCGCTTTGTCAACATTCCCAGTAAGGCTTCTTATCCTTATATTATAAATCTGGAAATAGAAAAAAGGCGTGGGGAAACTTGACTGTGGTCACACGGCTAGAAAGGCTAAGTCAGGGTCTGAATGCAGATAATGGTTCCTTTTCATGACCCCTCATAATTCTACGGAACAAGGCTTAACAAAGCTGAGCCGACTTTGCTAACATAACGGCTAGTACGTCTGACAATAAGCAATATATAAATATGGGTCAGTTATGGGATATAATTTAATATTGCTTCTGTGAGTCTGAAACTGTGAATAAGATTATAACAGCACATACCTTCGTATAGGTTGAAACTGAGACTGAGTTGAAACCTCAGCATTCTTTCCAGGGCTTTTTCTCACTGGGAACTTTTCTTCACCTTAAAAAATAAATTAAATGCATTTTAAACTGGATTTTTGCCAACCCAGATTATTATTTTCATTCCCTAGAATTTCCTGTGGTCTGGTTCAGAATGAGAAATAATCTGGATAGACAAAGCGCTTGCCTAATTGGGTTTGGATTGAGTGCTGCAAAGAGGTTTTTGCTCTGAACATTTATTTTCCTTGCTCAGAGGGGAGAACTATATTCTGACACTCAGAATACAATCAAGCCATTTACTGGCCTTTCAGTTATAACTGCAGTTATTTATGGAGACAAATGTTGTTTTGTTTTTGCAGGAAGGCAAACTGACCTGGTTCCTGTCAACAGACACTAGAGGGCGCTGGAACCAAGAACTGTTTGTTCAATAAAGATTTCAAATAGAAAAGACCATTAGCTGGAAATTCCCAGAGTGCTAACTGTGCCTTTGGCCATGAAACACCACTCAAAGAGTGGGGGTGAGGCTTCAGTACTAAGGGGCAATTCAACTGTCCTCTGTGCTCCTTGATGTCGGACTCTGAAAATACTTCCTCCCCAATTCTCAACAAGGCTTTGCAGACCCTGGACAGACCAGGCTAATATCCATTTTCCTTCCCACGATTGTATTGCTCTGTTTTACAGAGACGGTGATAGACAGCAACTCCCCTATTGGCGAAAAAAAGCTCACAGCCCCTCTAACCCTTGTTCAGGCAGTCTGGTGGGTAATGGCCACCTTTAGCAGGTACCAAGGGATTCTGAGAACCATGGGAAAAGCATCAGGGTTCTTCTTGGGACTTTCTTCCAAATACCCAGAGATTATAAAGGAATTTCTAATAAGCACAACTTAGAGCCAAAGGAGAACTCAGAGATCTTTTGAGTCTGACCCTCTCCTTTACTTTACATAAAGGGAGAGTAGGGCATGGAGTAAAGTAAGGTGACTTGCCGAAGGTCACACAGAAAGTCAGTGGCCAAATTGGCCTTGGAGCCCAGCATGTGTCCGTCTCTTCATGTTTTTCAGATGTTTCTATTGAATATGCTTTACTTTTCTGTCTGCCTGCCCACTTCTCCAGTCCCACTCAACCCTCTTCTGAACACAAGTGAAACAGCCCTGTACAGGCCAGGCTCACAGAGAAAGTGACTGTGGACAGAGGCTCTGCAGAAAGAGGCGGGTGGCCCAAGACCCGGGTCTGAAGACTTATAAAGTATATTGTCCTGAGAAATTAACTATTTATATAAAAGCTTACAGCTTCTGAAAATGGCGCCCTCCTGTGATGGGGGTCTGGATCAGGTGGAAGAGGGGAGGTAGAGCACACAGCAGGTATAGGGGTAAGCCAAGTTCAGAACCTGAGCCCATAATGCCTGTGTTCAGGGTGTTGAGGACATGACAATGGACTCCCCAGGGTTTGGTGGGTGGATAACTTTTAAAATAGATATGCAAAGGTGCACATTTTTTAAAATGCCTGTATCAGAGCCAATAGTTTACTTAAATCTTGCCTTGTGCCATAATCTGGCTGCTGATTCAAGGTTAGTTCCCCATGTTACAGAAAGCAGCCGTTAAGTTATACAGAACCCAAGGACTCCCAATGGGAGGATGTTATGTTGACCCTGCACAGCTTTTATCAATTCTTTTGCTATGCTGCTAAGCAATCAAAGGAAAATGATGGTGAAACTCTGCCTTGTGGGGTAGAGAAAGATATGGACACCTAATTCTAGTTTGTGCCATGTCAGTACCTAGCCATGTGGCTTGGGCAAATCCCTCAGGTATCTAGACACCTGCTATGGGCCATGAATGAAACAAATCTAGTGAAAGACCAAGGGAAAAAAAGCAGCAACTGCTATCTACACTCAGACTGCAAGCGGAGGTATAAATAGCATGATGTGTGGATGTCAGAGGCTGGTGAGATACAGGGCATTCATTCTAATGAGGAGAATCTCAGACACACAATGAAAGTCCTAGATGAGCTCCCCAAGGACAGTTTCAGCCCTAACCATCTGTCATCCGTAAAGTGAAGGCAAATAATGCTCATAGTCATCTACCGGAGGCTTGAGGTTGGGCAAACGCACCTTGTATTCCTTTAAAATTCTCTTCTATGGGACTCGAGGTCTATAAAAGAATGAAGAAAGAACACAGAAAAGACTTTCACTGGAGGCAGATATCATCAAAAGGTCAAGAGAATTTCTTGATGTTCTTAAAATTTGATAACCTATATAAGGTCCCCACATCTTTTATAGAAAAAGAACAAACCTACTTTGAAGGCATAAAATCTTTGTGCTCAATACAGCACAAAGAACAGGCTTCCCTGTTCTTCTCATTGTGAGGGGGACTGTGGGACTTCTCTCTTCTTTGTATCATTTTTCCCTCCATACCCCAACCTTCCAAGAGAGATTGTTTTGATTCATGAGAGTTTTATCAGAAGAGCCAAAGAAGAGTAAAGAACGGCCACCTCTGCAAAGTTACTCTATGGGGTGAGAAGCCAGAATCCTTGTTCGAGTGTTTTGAGGAGAGGTTGTGACTAGGAGGAACCACAAGGTGGCATTTTGGGGAAACGTTCCCTTTCTTGATTTGGGGTTGGTTACATGAGTGTGTTCCATTTGTGAAAGTTCATTAGCTGTACCCAAGATCTAAGCACTTTTCTCTATATTATACGTTTATGGACAAGTACATAAATACATATTATATGCAATATCTGTGTGTGTGTGTGTGTGTATAATTTTGTTAAAGATTTTCTTAACATTTCAGTCTGCCCACAGTAAAATCAAGAAAATATAAAGGGGGGGAAGCAAGGGGAGAGGAAGGACTATGGTCAAAATAAGGGGGGGGGTGCAATTGTATGGGGAATATAACCAAAATGATAATGCATACATTGTGCAAAAATGAAGAAAGATGTAAGAATTATATAAAATATTAATTAAAAAAAAAGAAAACATAAAGGATCCATAAGGGAAATATGCTCTGAGTTTTCAAAAGTGCAGACAAGTGGAAATTATGCTTTGTGACACATCGCTGAATTCCTGTCAGCCGAATGGTTGTAGCTGACATGTATAGTCCTCTTTCCTTACTCCATCTTCCATGTGTGTAAAAGATCCCCAAAAGGTGGTGGATGAGAGGGGTACTGAGGTAGAAATCACATAAATAAGTAGGAGCATTCGGGGGCTTTCATTTTGTCAATGAAAATAATCTGTACAAACAGGTTCTTGCAAAAGCGAGAGGCAGCTCCCCGAGAAAGCCCAGAGTCTGGACAGCCTCACAGCCCCCGCTGAGCCCTGGCTTCCTATCCCCACATCTATGGGTCACCAGTTCTTCTTCACAAAGAAATGTAAGAGCAGGCCTTCTCTTCCCCACAGGAAGGATGTGTGGATTAGATAACATGACAAAAAATGTTCTGTGAAAAAGACAAAGTGCTGCACAACAGCGGGAACCACAACTTGGGGAGAAATGGCACATGACCTTCCATTCTCAAAAATTTTTCAGATTTTTTAAAAACACATGAAACTGCTGGTAAATCAACATTATACACGTTTATGTGGTAAGCTATTTTTCTCAATAAACGTAATTTAAAAGAGGCCATGGAGGGAGTTGAAAATATACTTTACCCGTGGGCCTCCCCTGGTGGCGCAGGCAGTTGAGCGCAGCGCTATGAAGCTGTCCACAGCCTCTGCAGGGCCATTTCGATCCCCGCCTGCCAGCAAGGGTCCCACATGGCCCGGCAGACCTCTCCTGTCGTGCCCACTGCTCCCCTCAGCAGTGTATTTCATCAGTCTGCCTGTTCTGTTTCCCACTCTGTCTCTGCTGGATCCTCTCACCCTCCCGCGCATCTGGCCTGTACCCCGGTTCTTGTATAAATAAATAAATCTTTTTTTTTTTTTTTTTTTTTTTTTTTTTAGAGAGAGGGCATTTCTTTTTTTTTTTTTTTTTTAAAGATTTATTTATTTATTTATACAAGCACGGGGTACAGTCAGAAGCACGGGAGGGTGAGAGAATTCACCAGAGCCAGAGCGGAGAGCAGAACAGGCAGACTGATGAAATACACTGCTGAGGGGAGCAGCGGGCGGCAGGAGAGGTCTGCGCGCCATGTGGGACCCTCACCAGGCGGCTGGGGATCGAACCGGCGCTGCAGAGGCTGCGGGCAGCTTCGCAACCCAGCGCTCAACCGCTGCGCCACCAGGGGAGGCCCAATAAATAAATCTTAAAAAAAAAAAGTGGCGGTCCCTGGTGGCGCACCAGACTATGAAGCTAGCCACAGCCTCTGCAACATGAGTTCGATCCCCGGCCGGCCAGGGAGCAATCCACATGGCAAAGCAGACCTCTCCTGTCTTGTCCGCTGCTCCCCTCAGTAGTGTGCTTCAGTCAGTCTGTCTGTTCTGTTCCCTACTGTCTCTGGTGAATCCTCTCACCCTCCGGATCACTGGCCTGTACCCCAGATCTTATATGCATAAATAAATATTTTTTTAAAAAAAGAAAAGAAAAAAGAGAAATGAAAAAGAAAATATACTTTACCCTGACCTGTGATTTTACCTCTAGAGCTAAGTTTTCTTGTGCAGTCAAGGAGTAAAAATATTCATGGTCTGGAGTTAAAAATTCCTCTGTTATCTCCTCAGAAGACTCTGGTGAGCAAGTTGATTGCACGGATTGATCCTATTAATAATGTAGGAAATCACTCTTAAGTTGGTGTTCATTGTAAATAAAGCCCTTTATAGTAGGAAGCAGTGTTAGTGATGGGTTATCTAAAAACACCAGCAGTCAGGGTGATACTCTCTGAGCCAGCCCCTTCCTGCCTACTTCACCCCTGCCCCAGCCCTACTTCCCCCAATGAGCTAGAAACTACCTAGAGCAAGGATGGAGGCATGGCAGCCCTAAGCCTCAGTGACCGAGCTGCACAATGAGGTAGAGGGGGGGGTTGCCAGGGGGCAGGCAACCATTCCATTTTTATTTATAGAATTTATTTATTTGTGCACAAGAACTGGGGTACAGGCCAGGGGTGAGAGGATTCACCAGAGAAAGAGTGGGGAAAAGAACAGGCAGACTGAAATACACTGCTAAAGGGAGCAGCAGGTGAGGCAGGAGAGGTCTGCTGCGCCATGTGGGTTAGTTCCCTGGCCAGCCGGTGATCGAATTCATGTTGCAGTGGCTGGCTACAGATAGTTTCATAGGTTGCACCTTAACCCCTTGCACCACCAGGGAGGTCCCATTCTGTTTTTCAATTCTCAGAAAGGACAGGGCCCTAGATAACTCAAACTGGGGGCCAAATTTAAACACCCATCATGATCCTCAATGGCACTGCCTGTCCTCAGGAAGAGGCTAAGAATGCTCAAAACTGGGAAGTTCCTCAGGTATTCCCGTTTAAAAACAAGTGAAAGGGCAGGATTTTAAAAATAGCTATGCAATCTCAATAACAAGATAAATTAATAGTTATTACTTCGGCATTCACCCCTTGCTTTTCTGCCTATTTCTCTGTGCTCAGGCCCCGATTATCACATGGCCTCTCCTCACCTTCCATCATCCCTTTGCAGAAGTTTTGTGATTTGCTGGGACATTGCTTTTCCACATACTTCCTCTTTCTAAGCACTTAGCAGTTTCCTCTCCTTTACCTCTTGTATCAAATTGAAATTTCTCAGACAATCTGCTTCCCCTATCTTCCCCACTTCTCTGACAAGCCTGCTTCTCCCCCCAAGTCAATATGCTTATGTATAATGGCCTTCTTGGCCTCATGTATAAGGAAAAATAAATTGTCCTACGAGTGGTAATTGTGCTATAATTAAATATAATAGTATGTTCTTTGAAAGACTTGAAATATTGTCACTATTGTGTTTTTATATTATTTCATTCTCAATTATTGTTTATGTTCTTTCAGTGATTGTGGTCCCGAGTTAATGATGGTTTTAAAAATCTTGGTTCCTTAGTCTGGCTGGTTCACAGCCCAGTTGCATGCTTAAAGGATGTTGTTAAACCTCAGAAACAAAGCTGTATCTTCAATACAGATGCTAGAAAATGACAGGATTCCACAGATCCCGCTGAGGAGCTGTCAGGCATGAAAACATTCCTTCTACTGGGTTAGAGGTGAATTTGGATCTTAGAGGATATTCCAGGTGAAGGCACAGTCCTCACAATTCCTACGGTATGCTGACCTCAGTCACATGTTGAGCCATGAGTTTTGGTATCTAACTTCAAACTAGTTGGTCTTGTCTACCCAACTACACAGGAAGCTCCAGGGCCAAAATTGAATCTGACTTGTCTGTTCTCCCCAAGTCCCAAGATCTACAATGCTTTAAGTTGAATTGACTCAAAAAAGCACTGGGCGGGCCTCCCTGGTGGCGCAGGCGGTTGAGCGCCGCGCTGTGTAGCTGTCTGCAGCCTCTGCAGTGTCAGTTTAATCCCAGCCAGCTGGCGAGAATCCCACATGGTGAAGCAGACCTCTCCTCTCTCACCCACTGCTCCCCTAAGCAGTGTATTTCGTCAGTCTGCCTGTTTTGTTCCCCGCTCTGTCTCTGGTAAATCCTCTCACCCTTCCACGCATCTGGCCTGTACCCCGGTTCTTGTATAAATAAATCTTAAAAAAAAAAAAAAAAAAAAAAAAGCACTGGGCAAGGGGACTCCCTAGTGGCATAGGGGTTAAATCTCAGCACTATCACCAAGCATTGCTGCATGAGTTTGCTCCTCAGCCAGGGAGGTGACCCATATGGCACAGCAGACCTCTCCTGTCTCACCTGCTGCTCCCTTCAGCAGTGTATTTCAGTAGATCTGCCTGTTCTGCTCCCTACCCTGTCTCTGGTGAATCCTCTTACCCACCCCGCCCCCCACCTCTGGCCTACACCCCAGCTTCCGTATGCATACATAAGTAAATCTTAAAAAAAAGAAAAAAAAGAAAGAAGGGCCTCCCGAGTGGCACAAGGGGTTAAGTTGCAACCTATGAAGCTATTCGCAGCCTCTGCAGCACAAGTTCGATCCCCGGCTGGCCAGAGAGCAACCCACATGGCACAGCAGACCTCTCCTGACTCACCTGCTGCTCCCCTCAGCAGTGTATTTGAATAGATCCACCTGTTCTGCTCCCCACTGTCTCTGGTGAATCCTCTCACCCCACCCCACACCTCTGGCCTGTACCCCAGCTCTTGGATGAATAAATAAATCAAAAAAAAAAGAAAGAAAGAAAGAAACATTTATAATTAAAAACATTTATAATTAAAAATTATCCAATAGAAAAGAGTTACTACAGATATCATTTCAATGTTATAATATGTAACAACTCAGTTCTACTTTATTAGGTCTCTGGGTTCAACCTGGCTGTCGGGGTCATGACTACTTACACTGCAAGATTTCTCAATGAGAGCAGATGCCTCAGAACTTGCTTGAAAGACTTCATTGTGCTCTGGCTGCCCGTTTTTCCTGAGCGACAGATGCCTGATACCTAAAAATCATACAACCAGAGTCAAAATCATTCAGCGATATTCACAGGACATGGAAGGGCTGAAAGGTGGCCCCGAAAGGTGAGAGAAGAAATGCCATGGATTCTGCCGTGGGTGGCCCACCCTACATATTGGATCCAGTCCAGACAGTGAAAACTGTTTAGCCTGGCTCCAGCACATTGCTCTGGATCATTATCCTTTTTAAAAATGATTCTTGACAGTGTCTCCCCTGTCAAGGGGAGGCAGTTGAGCAGGCAGTTGAGTGCAGCACTGTGAAACTGTCTGCAGCCTTTGGGTGCCGGTTTGATTCCCGGCGGGCCAGTGAGATTCCCACATGGCACGGCAGACCTCTCCTGTCTCGCCCGCTGCTCCCCTCAGCAGTATATTTTGTCAGTCTGCCTGTTCTGTTCCCAGCTCTGTCTCTGGTGAATCCTCTCACCCTCCCGTGCATCTGGCCTGTACCCGGGTTCTTGTATAAATAAATAAATCTTTAAAAAAAAAAAAAAAAAGAATGATCCTTGACAAAGCAAAGATTCTAAATACCAAAAAGAAAAAAAACACCACCAACCCAATAGATCTCTACCTAAGATAAACAATCATTTTAGATGTACCTTTAACTTGCAAACAACTGGGAGATAATATCCTATGCTATGATGGCAAGCAATTACCAGGTAGAAATACATTGCCTCCAGTTTTAGCCCACAAATCTATAAGAGTGATGACAGTAAATGTCATTTTTCTCAAGAAAAGTATTGGATGGTTTCACTTATAGGAAGTATTTAGGGAAACCAAACAAGGAGTAGGGAAAGAAAAAAAAAAAAAGCAGACAAAACTAGCAAGCAAACCATAAATTGGAGACATACAGCAGGGAAGGGGGAGGGAGCGGGATCAAAATAGGTGAAGGAAAAGCACAAGAGACTATGGTTGATGGTTCATGGGTGACTTGGTGGTGGAATTTTATGGGAATTACAACTGAGAGGAAAAATCGAACATTACACAAAAATGAACAATGATGTAAAATATGTCTATATATTTAAATAAATATATTTAATTTTTAAAAATGCCATTTTGCTCTAGAGTCCTCTGGCATAGACTATCTAGGAGACAGTGGAATTTTTCTGGTTTAAAATGCAATTAAAGAAACAGGCAGCAGGGAGTGGCCTTTGCCCTGAGGTAAGGAAGGTTCCATTCCTTGCCAAGTCAGACCCAGGACCAGGGTCAATGCATGGAGATTATTTTACTTCCTTTGGACAAATGAGTTTGTTCCAGTAATTGAAAAATTGAGTATTTCTTTACCCATAGGTAGGACAGGTATATCAAAGAGTACATTGCTTCCCCCTGGGTTCCCAGGTAGATGGAAAAGGAGAGCAAATCCAGCAAAAGAAATATATTCCAAGAGATTTACTTATTTTTAAGAGCCAGTAGCTTGATAGTGCTCACCTATCCCAATTTCTCCAACTGAAAATAAGCTTCGAGACCCAAATTGTCTGCCATTCTGGTCACTGTTGTGGTCACTGTTGTCCTTTTTGTCATACTTGGCATTTTCATCATTTTTTCTGGGGTAATCTATTGCTGGCTGCCAATCAGCATTCTCTGGGTCCTTGATGGGGAGCAGGGGCAGGGGATTCAGCTTGTTTTCAGCCTCATTCTCTACAGTCAAACAACTATGAGAATGCCAAGGAGGTACCACCAGCTGCCCAGTAGCTGCTTTCTCTGCCATTTCTTTCACCTCCACTGGACAGAAGAGAAAGCAGCATTTAAAACATTGTGAATATTGCAAACAAAATCTTTTGATTAAAGAGTCACGCAAAAATTGCCTTTTCAGAATAGCATCATCTTTATCTTGCTGTTTAGCTGGAAGAGGGTGTGGGAGAGACTAGATGACAGAGGGAAGAGCAGAATTTCAATTAGTTTTAGTCCTTGTGGCTGAATTTCAGAGTGGAAGGCCGCAAAAACTTGTAGATGGAGTTCTGAAGCCCCCACTCTGAAGAAACTAATGGAAAGGATTCTATTCGACTTTGTCCTTTATAGACTGAATTCATACTTTGAGAGTATATATATATACATGAGTGTTTTCATTCCCACATGTCCTGTACTTTTGCTAATGTCACTTAACATTAACATTAAAAAAACATAGCCACACTGTACCCTCTTAAGCTTACAAGATAAAACTAATACAAATAATAATACTCAGGGCCTAACCCGTAGCGCAGCAGTTGAGCGCTGGGCTGCGAAGCTGCCCGCAGCCTCTGCAGCACCAGTTCCATCCCCAGCCACCTGCAAGGGTCCCACATGGCGCACAGACCTCTCCTGCTGCACCCGCTGCTCCCCTCAGCAGTGTACCTCGGTCCCTCTGCCTGTTCTGCTCCCCGCTCTGGCTCTGGTGAATTCTCTCACCCTCCCGCACTTCTGACTGTATCCAGTGCTTGTATAAATAAATAAATAAATCTTTAAAAAAAAGAATACTCACCAGATACATGAAAGCAACACTGCACACACTCTACTTTAATAATGTTTATATTAAGTACGTACTGTTTTGGTTGTTAAATGATATGAATTAATATATATTGAAAAATAGAAAAATGTTTCCTGTAAAGTCTACAAAGGAAAAAAACTTCCTTTTTGCAGTTAGTAATCAGAAATTCCTTGCTTTTAAAATGTAATGATCTAACAGAGAGAAAAAATGTGAGAGGACAGGGCAATACAGGCTGTGTACTTAGCAATAACAAACAGGTTGAAATCTGAACAGCCTTTAAATTTCATTTCAACAACCCATGACTTCATACTCACTTTCCCATTTTAAGTGTATCTCTCCATCATCTTCATTATGTCTTGACTTTGCATTATAGATTTCAGAAGACACAGATTCCACACCGACCCTAAAGTCCACAGGTTTTGGAGAAAGTTGGGGAACAGAATGAACACAAACACATTAGTTTGCTCAAGATTCCGGCGCAGCAGACCCTCCCAGGAACCGCCCCTCCTCTCAGTCACTCCTGGGCTGGCATTGACTCCTGCCCTCCACCAGGGGGCACCACACAACCCAGTGTTCGACTATGATGCTCCTTACCTGGTAGAGCTCTGGCAGAGGCTGGATGACACAGGAGGTCCCTGAGGGTGACCTGCCACAGTGAAGAGTGCACTATTTAGCTGTGTTGCTTTGGCTCGGACACTGGACTCTCTAGGCCTTCCCTGGCTAAGAAATGAAAGAACAGGGATAGAAGAGCTCTAAGGTATTTTTGAGTTTCCAAGCTCAAATTTCATGATTCTAAGAGTACACATGGGACATTTTCAGAGATAACAGGACCCCACAATTGAAACACAGTTTCACCAGACAGAATCCTTATCCCTGGGCTGATGAGGAGTCCCCCGGGGCCCACCCTCCAACATGGCACAGGACACAGATGATGATTTAGTAACTTCTGCCTTTTGATCAGAAGTCTCTGCAACAGGTCCATCTGCCTATCAATGATGGTACAAAAACTAACATTTGCAAAGATGATCTTAAAGCACCAAGGATTCTGAAGAACATTCAACTACCTTCAGCCCAACTTCAATAAGTTCCAGATCCTGACTTGTCATAAGCTAGCTGACTTTGGCAAACTTCAATCTCTCTAAGCCAAGGATTCCTCATCAGCAAAACAAGGGAGACTATATAATCTAAATATCTATATATTCACCTATATAATCTAAATATCCTGATTATATAGTTGTCACCATCTATTAAGCTAACTCTGAAAATGTGTGATGTGTGGCATATACATAAATTCCTGTTATCCACAATGTGCTACTCCTTCGTGGGACCAGAAAGCAGAGACTGTTGAATCAGAAAGGTCAGATCTGATCAGCTTCTTTAAGGAGCAACTTGGCAACATCTTTCAAGAATCTTTAACATGCTCAACCCCTTTGAACTAATAACTGTTTCTGAAAATCTATGGAGGAGGCCATGTTCCAAAATGCAGAAAAAGTTTTATTGACAAGTCACCGTGGCCCTGTTTATATCAGAAATAACCTAAAATTCAACAGGAGGGATATCCAACAATTTCAAACTAAGTTTACAGGAAGTTTTTTAGTAACATGGGATAATGCTCATGTTCTAACATAAAGTGAAAAATCAGGATATAGGATAGCATACACACATTTAATTATAATTTTCAGCATACAAAAAGACTAGGTACATTGGTAGCAAAAAGGTTCCATTTCTTTGATTTATTTTTTGTTCTTCTGGGGGAAGAGGGTGGAACTGGACAGCTTTTGCTTTGTCATCTTATGGCTACACTGGTCTATCCATGATGTGAGAGCTAAACCACCTGATGTCAGTTAGGTTGTTCTTCAATAATTCCCTTTGTGAAGGTAAAATACACCAATCTAAAATGTTTGGGTATTTCCTTGATTCTCCTTCATGTACATATTCAATGGTATGAACAGAACAGCAAACTCCTGTCATTTGTCTCAATCACCACTAGGGGGAAGAGGAACAAGAAGTTATTTTTTTCCAAAACTGACTTCAAGGCTGTGGATTAATGCTATCATGTAACCACTGAAACAGAAAACTAAAATTGATATACTAGTCTATCTGGAAAGACATTTTCTGACCCCTTTTAGAAGTTCCCCTGTGGAAAATTTGCTTTACCCTATTTCTTAAAGCCCTGTGTTTAGATATGACTACCTTCCATCCACATGGTCTGAAGCCACTTTGTTTCACTCAACTGGCTGGCAATCAGAGGCCAGGTTAACAGTGACATTGCTCAACTCCAGCTCTGGAGTCAGTGACTCTGGTTTCTGAGTAGTCTGGTTTCTGGAGCATTGGCAAATGAAATACCTGATGTTTCCTTTTGTAGGAAAAACAGTCTGAACAGTTTTGGAAAAGCAAGCAGCTTCACTTCTGACAACTAGTGAGCTCTGTCTGATTAACCTGCCAACCACTTCACCTCTGATGTCTCCTACATCAAATTATACCTCCAGGGCCTCCCTGGTGGCACAAGGGGTTAAGACGCAACCTATGAAGCTGTCCGCAGCCTCTGCAGCACAAGTTCAATCTCCAGCTGGTCAGGGAGCAGCCCACATGGTGCAGCAGACCTCTCCTGTCTCACCCACTGCTCCCCTCAGCAGTGTATTTCAGTCAGTCTGCTTGTTCTGTTCTCCACTATGTCTCTGGTGAATCCTCTCTCTCACACACACACACCTCTGGCTTGTACCCCAGATCTTGAATGCATAAATAAATAAATCTTTAAAAAAATTACACCTCCATCCATTACACCACTGTTTATTTATAAGAGAATTTATATCTATTCTTCATCACTCAGTCTCTTTGTCACTAGCTCTATGTCAATCATTAAGTGGCCTCAATATCACATGGGAGTCTAAAGACAGGTGACACAAGGACTAATAAAAATGTTAACTCACCTGCTGGAATTTTGGCTCCTGCTTCTTTCCAAGCTGCCCTTGGCTCCCTGCATAGACAGAAACTGTTCGCACACGCTCTGTTTTCCAGTGCCACAAAGATCCGAAACCTTTAAAAGCAGTAAACATGCTTCAGTGCTTTGAATTTCTCTCCTCTTTATTCACATTTTATTTTCAAAGATATTCTTGCTAAATGTATAGAAATAAACAGGCCTTTCATGTTTCCTATCTAGTAGATCTCTCTCTTACCTGGAGGCCTTTATGGAGAAATGTTGTCCTCCCCCGCTTTCTTATCAGCCCAGTCCTTCAGGGTTAAGTGAAGAATGAGCAGACAAAAGACACTGAAAATTAAAAAGCTTTCCTTTGTACATTCCCCTTAGGTATTATTAAGGCAGCAGGCTTTGATGTAGGACACCCAGGCCTGGGTTCCAGCCTAAGCCTGAGAGAGCCGGTGCTTCAGTTTCCTCATCCATAAGACAGGGACAGTGACACATGCCTGAATCCACCAATGTGGATGCTATGAATATAAATAAAGGCTACAATACTTCAGAAACAGTAGAACTAAAAGAAATCTAACCTATGCCCTTTATCTGAAAGACTTTTGAGTGTGTTTATTCCAAACAAACAGTTAATTGTATCTTCTAACTTATAGAACATTAACGCAACAAATGTGGGGCTTGGGGATGGTAGCAAGGTATCTCAAAATGTCAAGATGCATTAAAAATAATCATTTCACTAAAGCATGTGCTCTCAAGGCCTTTGCATGGGGGTAAGGACTCCTCAGCAATATCTGAGACAGGGCTGAGACTAGTTTTTTTTTTTTTTAAATTTTTTTTATTTATTTATTTATTTTTATAGAGGCATGTTTTATTTATTTATTTGTTTGTTTTTTTTTTTGTTTATACATGCACTGAGTACAGTCAGAAGCGCGGGAGGGTGAGAGAATTCACCAGAGCCAGAGCAGGGAGCAGAGCAGGCAGAAGGACCGAAGTACACTGCTGAGGGGAGCAGCGGGCGGCAGGAGAGGTCTGCGCGCCATGCGGGACCCTCCTTCGGTGGCTGGGGGGCAGCCGGGGATCGAACTGGTGCCGCAGAGGCTGCGGGCAGCTTTGCAACCCAGCGCTCAACCGCTGCACCACTGGGGAGGCCCTGAGACTAGTTTTTAAGACTTCAACTTCAGCTTTCGTTTGAGAAGCCAGCAGCCATGCTTTATAGAGGCCTGGGTGGGTCTATTTAGTGAAGATGAGAAATCAAGGGCAGAAAGAGGCCACTTGAAGCCCAAGGCAGCAGACATGTAACTGAAGTTTCTTGCCCAGTCCAACTGAATGCTGTTGTATGAGAAATCCCAGCCCATGTCACATGAAGAAGAGCCACCTACATAAGCCCTGCCAAATTCCTGACTCACAGAGTTGTAAGAAATAATAAACCATTTATTTTAAGCCACTACATTTGGAGCTTTTTTTTTTTTTTGGTTACAAAGCAAGAGATAACCAAAACATATTATAATAAAAGTTATTTCTAAACAAGAAAAGGTTTTCTAGCTAACTCTAGTTTTCAGTGGAAAAAGAAATACTAGAATCTAAGTTAATTCTTTGTGCTTTCTCTTTAGATAGAAACAAGTATCAATGTTTTTCCAAATATTCAAGTGAACATGAAGCCTCACTGAAATTCAGCAGGTCACAGAGAAAGAACACTACGCCAAGAATCAAGAAACTGCCCCCCCAAACAACTGGGCTCTGACAGTAGAGAAGCAAGACTGGGGTGAAGGGAGCTACCTGCTCTGTGCAGGCAATAAAGGGGGTATGGTGTCTGTGGAGAATTTTAAAATAATAATAAAGCCCACTCAAAGTTGGCTTGCTTGTCATCCCAATGCGCCAGCAATTCTAAGTTCAGTAATAAAAGTTCTCCCAATGCAGCCAGGCTCTCCTATTCCAGCCCCACCTCAGTAACAACATGGTATCTCGGAAAGTTGAAGTCACTGAGTTTGAACTTCATACCCTGTAAAATTCTATGATTCAAAAGGCAGCAAGCTTTCTGTGTGATCCTCTTCAAATTCATTCCTTTATTTACCCCTTCATTCCTTCAATGACCATTTACTGAGTACTTTCAATGTGTCAAGCACCTTACCAGGCACTGGGACAAAGAATAAGTAAGACCTGGCCCTGTTCTCAAGGAATTTGTGGAACAGCCACTCTAGATCTCACTATGCTTCAGGCTAAGCCAAGTCAGCTCCCACAGCATCTTCCCTAACCACCAGGTCACTCTGTCCCCCACTGGTGTTCGAGTGACTCACAGGTCAAACCTATAATTCATTCATCATTATATCCCAGGGTCTAATATATCACCTCTGGCTCTATTAATGTTTACTGAATGAATGAATGAAATAATATAAAATGGAGATTAATACTTGCCCAAGATACCATGCATAGAGACCATGTAAACCACGTAAAATTGCCAGTACTTATTCTGACCTACAAAACAGCAATTTCATATGGTACAATCTGAGAAATCTGAATTTACAGAGGGCATGGGCTCTGTGTTGAGTTTGGAATGGCTGATGAAGAGTATCTACCTTGGGATTCTATCCTAATGGCTTTGTTTCCCAAGACCAAGAGTCTATGAGTTGGTTGTATGCTGAATCTGGCTCCAGATTCCCATGGGGCTGCCCTGTCTCCCACTTCTTAGCTTTACCTGATGGTTCTTCTCTGCCTGATCCCCAGTGCTTTCTTCAGAGACTTCGATGAGAGCTTTACAACCACAGCTACTTCTCTTCCTGGACCTTTTGCCAAAATTTCCCCCTTGAAAGTCTCTCACTGTTCTTGGAGACCTAGCTGGGCTCAGGCAATTGCCCCCAGTGTCCAGCTGCTGGCCTCCTGGCAGCTGCATGACAGGAGGAATATAGCTCAGAGCTGGGGGGCCCAGAGCTGAAAGTGAGTTATAGACATGCGTAAACTCTCTTGAAGAAGCCCACAAAGACCTGCACTCCTCCTGATCCTTCTGTATCATCTCAAGCTTGTCTATTTTCTGTTGGGTGTTCCTCAGCAAATCAGCATTCTGGTGCATTAACGTCTGTGCAATCTTGAGATTCAGCACACACTTACTGATGTATTCTTCGGTCATGGACCTACTGTTCACATTGCCCCTGGCTTCTCTGGTTGGCTCACACAAACTGGGTGAACTCAGTGAACCATTTTGCCAGTTCCAGTCCTCAAAGGAGTGCTCTGTGCCAGCTTCCGAAGAGCTGTCATCTTCATGGCAAAAACAGCATGCCTCTCTCTCCATTTTATCCAACTCTTCTTCCATGGACTTCAGTTCATCTATCTGGTCTGAGCTAACCTCCTCAAGAGCTGAGCCAGTTCCTGGGCATTCTTTGTCATCACCCATGTCCAGGCAGCTTGAGTAAATTTCATTGATTTCAAAGCTGCAGAGGCTTGCCTGCCCTGGGCTGGGGCTCCTGGCCTCTTCTGCCCCAGAGCAAGCAAAAAAAGCAGTGTCTCGGTTTTGAGTCTCCTTGGCTATCAGACCTGGATCTGGGGCCTGCGGATCTGGTGTTGCTTTCTCAATGGGAGAAGAGTGACTCCTTGGTGAGTGGCGCTGACTGCCTGCTGGAAAGAGTAGCAACATGCAACAGGTTAAAGTGATCACAGAGGAGAAGCAACCTTGGCTTGTTGCTCAAGCAGCATAAAAATGCACAAAGAGTTTTTTTCATTTTCCTGCTTCCTTCCCAGCTGTAGAAGATGATTGGGTACGTTCATATTTCTAAGTGGCAGAATTAAAATGGCAAGAAATTTCCTTTTTTATAATGTTTCAAATTTTCTATATTGAGGAGACTGTAGATTTAAATTTAAAAACCATCATTTTTATTTGGAAGCAATTAGATAAATTCCTGAGAGTAATCATGCTAGAAATAAATTGGTTGTTACTTGGTTGGTTCTGGAAGTAACCAAGGTGTGTATGGACTCCAAAATGTTTAACTTAGTAATTTTTAGGCTCCTGGTTTTCCCCTAAGGCTTCTGTATTTTCTCAGCGTAAGTGACATTTACAGTTTGGAAGATCTGCAGGTTGTGGTTCTCAGAACACACTCATAATAATGCCTAACCTACGGGTGAAGGCGATACCTGTTTCCTTCAGTTCTTTTATTTCCAAGTCAGAAGTCTCTTTTGCATATTCTGAAGTAAGTCCTAGACAGACATTGGCATCAGGGTGGGGTTCATAACTTTGTACCCTGGGACTCCCAGTTGGCTGAGTTCTCTGGGCCTCAATAAAATCCTATATTAAGGGAGAGATTGTTAAGAACATATCTGCAATCATCTGAATGCTAATGTTGTTTTAGAAACAGATCTAGGTATTAAATAAACTCCCTCTTGTTCCTGTTGGGTAGACTGACTGTAGCTCTAATTAGCTAATCCAGCATTATGACCAATATTTAAAAAGTAAAAACAATCGCTGTCATTCACTAAATGACACTATGTGCCTGTGGGGGTTATTACCAGTCGACCTTCCCCACCTCCTCCTCAATTCTCTGCAGCCCTCACCTAAGTTAAGTAATTAGGTGTCTCTCAGGAACATGGGGAGGAAATGAGAATTTCAGAGACTTACAACTTGGTCTTTAGTTTCTATTTGGTCTAGTCCCTACTCCTATAAAATGAGTAAACAGAAATAGACTCCTAACAACTTCAAAGCTTACCTTTAAGTCATTCTTCAGAATATACTGGATATCTTGAAGGTTCAAAGTTCGGTCTTTTGACTTGATCTGGATGCCTGAGTTGACAATATCATAGTAAGGTTTTGGAAGCCTGACATCAGCTTCTAAATAATTTCCCAAGACTATGGTTTCTTTAATAACTGAGCCATCTAAGCCATTCCAGGGTATGTTGTCTGTTAAAGAAATTGCCACAGGAAGAAATAACATTAAGAAATCAGATGAAATTGGTGGCCTTAGTCAAGTCTCTCAACCCCTTTAAACATTTTATTACCCCTTTAAACATTTATTTCTCTGTTAAAAATAAGTACCTGTAAGCCCAATCACAAATAAGAAATCACTTTACCCCTCTACCAGAATCATGGACACACAGGCTCCCCACAGAGGGTAGCAGAGCTGGGAACTACAGGGGTTTCGTGGCATCAGGCTGTGTGGTCCAATGCATTCATGTTACAGAGCCGTGATCCTGCCCCAGAGACTGTGAACACCATTACCTGGGGGCTGATTCTCACTTATCCCCACAGTTAATATGGCTAAACTGCGGGTGTGTGTCCCTCTCCTGAACGATTCCTCTGTCTTCAGATGTGTGACCATTTCCTTCACATTAAGTCCTGCAGGACTTTTCTGTCTGTCAAGTGCCACTGCATTAGACACAGAGCCTGAGTGGGCTTCATCTCACAGTTTGCTTCTCAAAGGCTAGTTTTCTCTCTTCATTTACAAGTTAAGGGGAGCCTCAGAGAGATCCCTAGGCACTGATACTAAAATCCATCTTAAAAATTTTACTTGGGGGCCTCCCTGGTGGCACAGGCGGTTGAGCGCTGCACTGTGAGGCTGTCTGCAGCCTCTGCAGTGCGGGTTCGATCCCAGCCGGCTGGCCGGCGAGAATCCCACATGGCGCAGCAGACCTCTCCTGTCTTGCCCGCTACTCCCCTCAGCAGTGTATTTCATCAGTCTGCCTGTTCTGTTCCCTGCTCTGTCTCTGGTGAATCCTCTCACCCTCCCACGCATCTGGCCTCTACCGCAGTTCTTGTATAAAAATAAATAAATCTTAAAAAAAAAGTTTTTACTTGGGCCTCCCCGGTGGCGCAGCGGGTTGAGCACCGCACTGTGAAGCTGTCCACAGCCTCCGCAGCATGGGTTCAATTCCGGCTGGACAGAGAGAAACCCAAATGGCGTGGCAGACCTCTCCTGTCTCGCCTGCTGCTCCCCTCAGCTGTGTATTTCAGTCAGTCTGCCTGTTCTGTTCCCCGCTCTGTCCCTGGTGGATCCTCTCACCCTCTCGCACCTCTGACCTGTACCCCAGTTCTTATATAAATAAATTAATCTTTTAAAAAAATTTTACTTGGAGCCTCCCTGGTGGCACAGGTGGTTGGCACAGCACCGTGAAGCTGTTGGCAGCCTCTGCAGTGTGGGTTCAATCCTGGCTAGCTGAGAAGATACCCACATGGTGCAGCAGACCTCTCATATTTCGCCCGCTGTTCCCCTCAGCAGTGTATTTCAGTCAGTCTGCCAGTTCTGTTCCCCGCTCTGTCTCTGGTAAATCCTCTCACCCTCCCACATATCTGACCTGTACCCTGGTTCTTATATGCATGATTAAATAATTTTTTTTTAAAGATTTATTTATTTATTATTTATACAAGCGCTGGGTACAGTCAAAAGCGCGGGAGGGTAAGAGGATTCACTAGAGCCAGAGCGGGGAGCAGAACAGGCAGACTGATGAAATACACTGCTGAGGGGAGCAGCGGGCACAGCAGGAGAGATCTGAGCGCCATGGGGGACCCTTGCTAGTGGCCAGGGATCAAATCGGCGCTGCAGAGGCTGCGGGCAGCTTCGCAGCCCAGAGCTCAACCACTGCGCCACCAGGGGAGGCCCGATTAAATAAATCTTAAAAAATTTTTTTTTACTTGGACTAAATGGATTATCATTGACAAACTGGTGTTTTTTGCTGTGTCTGAATGAACAGGTTAAAGGAGAAAGATTTTTAGGAGATCATTTTGTATCATCCATAAGCACAAATAGGTTTCCTTGAAGAAATCTTTTTTCTATTTCCTGCCTCTTCATAAAACTAAGTAACTTTTGGAGTTACTAAGCAAATAAGGACTTTTGTCACCATCAGTGTGCTCTTTCATCTACCTGTTAAAATCTCCTGTATGATCATAGAAAAGCTGTAGATGTCTGATTTCACTGTGGCTGCCTTCTGTAAGATCACCTCCGGGGCAGCCCAGTTGTACAGCTGGGTGGGGAGGGGTGCTTGAGTCAGGTCCCTATGTACACCTCCATCCTGCCTACAAAGGAAACACAAGGTAGGATTCATGTTTTGAAGAATCATTGGAATAAAAAAAAAAAAAGAATCATTGGGATCACACTGCAATCCTAGCACATTTGCAACATAGTTTCTAGAAACTCCCCTCACCTACCTGCCTGCTGTCCCAATCCCAGAATTTCTACTATTCGTACCTGAGCAGGCTCTGTCCATCCTCCATCTCCTCTGACCATCCTTTCCTGTTCACTGACTCCACTCAAGTCACAGGAGCCCTCTTTCAATTTTCCCAGTACCCAAGCACATCACCACATCTTTATGTTCTGGCTTCTGCATGGCTGCTCCTACAGATACTTGCATGACTTTTTAAAGAATTTCTTGTGGCTAAAGAAAATCTCCTCAGAGAGGCCTTCCCCAACCACCTGATCTAAAAATAGTCCAGTTTTAATAAAACTTGGCTTAAGAGCACTTAATATCCTTAAAATTAATGTTTTGTTCATTTGTTTATTATCTGTCGCCCCTTCACTCAAGCCAACTTCATGAGAAGGTGCCTATATCTCTCTTTTGTATCAATGTACCTCTGAAATTAAACCAAGGCTTCAATGAATACTTTTTTTTAATATTTTTGATAATTTTCTTTTTTTTTTTGAAGGTTTATTTATGCATACAAGAACTGGGGTATAGGCCAAAGGTGTGGGGGGTAAGAGGATCCACCAGAGACAGAGTGGGGAACAGAACAGGCAGACTGACTGAAATACATTGCTGAGGGAAGCAGCAGGCGAGACAGTCAGGAGAGGTCTGCTGCACCATGTGGGTTTCTCCCTGGCTGGAATGGGAGCGAACTCATGCTGCAGAGTCTGCGGATTGCTTCATAGTGCAGTGTTTAACCCCTTGCGCCACCAGGAAGGCCCTTCAATGAATACTTCTGAATAAATTAATGTTTGACTCTGTTAATACACGCCCCCCAAGTCCCATCTGATTCCTCAAAGTCTTCTGGGACTCCTCACTATTGCTGCTTTTCTGAACTCTGCTCTTTGGGAATAGCCCTTGGATTCAGCAATTTGCTTGAATAAGTCAGCTTCCCAACCAAACTCGTTGAGAACTAAGTCAAGAAAGTGAGTTCACCTACATTCTCAGGCTTCTCAGGTTTGTCTAAGACTCTGGCAAGGGGCAAGTCATCTATCACCAGGATTTATATCCTTTCTCTTTTACTTCATTTCTGATAATCCCTCATTCTTCTCTGTTAAAGGTGGCCAGAGGTGGGAGGGTTTCTTTTCTGCCTGTCATTCTAGGACAGTTATTTTTCTGGGCTTCAGGGCTGACATCATTAAAATTACATTTGGCTTTGGCTATGTGATACCACTTGCAAGGCTGATTCTAGTCCTAACGATTCCAATAAGGAGTTGAAGAATAGAAGAAAGTGCTGTATCATTTTTATACCAAGAGATGGAGTGTTATCCTTGACGATGACATTCAACAGCTGACCTACCCAAATAGAGTGTTACCAAAAATAAATGTGGAATGAAAGCTATTTCAGATTCTAGGATAATCAACTCATGTTATCAGCTGTCAATGAAGGGCATACTGTTATGCCCACAATTGCCTGCTGACAGACATTTCTACCTGACGTTCCATTCCAAGGTCAATAAGGCCAAAAGAAAACACACACCTTCCTACCACACCCATATTCCTCTGGGAATCCCAGTTACCTCACAACCCCGCACCTGATCAATCTGTGGATACCAGCCGCTCAGTGCATCTCACACCTTTCTCTTCTATTCTGATTGCTCAGTCACCATCAGGTCCAGCCCTGTGGCCTCCTGGTCTTCCCTGCCCTCAATCTCCATAACTAAGAAATATTCTCAACCACCTGGTTCTAATCACAGCTGGGTGAGTTCAGACCCCCCTTTTCACCCTGGGACCCCAGTTTCCTTATCTATAATAGGTCAGGGCGGGGCAGGACCATCTCCAAAGCTCCTTTTCACTCTAGAATTTACTTTTCTACTGAAAAGTTAAGAAACTGTCATATCTCCATCTCAACAACAGATGGTGCTCCATCATTGGCAAACTACTTGGATTCTGGTAGCTAAGGGAAAGTCTCAATCCCTTAGCTTCCACTGCTCCTGAACTTGTAGCCAACGTGGTAAACCCTGAATTGAACCATTTCGAGTTTTCCCTTTATCTAGGTTCATCCATTCACTTAACAAATGTTTACTGAGCACCAGAACTGGGTGTTGAAGATAGATGGAGCCATGGTCTCTGCTCTCTCAGAGTTCACCAGGTGGCAGGGCCCACACACTTCATATAAACAATTGCAAAGCCAAGGGACAGACAAAACATGCTAGGGACCAGGGCTTCAGCACAGGCTTCAAAAGAGAGATTGTATCTGAAGGGAGATTGTGTCTGAAGGGAGTTTAAAAGAATAATCGTAGGGCCTCCCCTGGTGGCGCAGCAGTTGAGCGCTGGGCTGCGAAGCTGCCCACAGCCTCTGCAGTGCCAGTTCGAACGCCGGGCCACCAGCAAGGGTCCCACATGGTGGGACGGACCTCTCCTGCCGTGCCCGCTGCTCCCTTCAGCAGTGTATTTCGTCAGTCTGTCTGTTCTGTTCCCTGCTCTGGCTCTGGTGAATTCTCTCACCCTCCCGCGCTTCTGACTGTACCCAGTGCTTGTATAAATAAATAAATAAATCTTTAAAATATATATATATATATATATATATATATAAATAAAATTAACAAAAAAAAAAAAAGAAGAAGTTTGTCAAAATGAGGGCCTTCCTGGTAGTGCAAGGGGTTAAGGCGCAACCTATGAAGCTGTCTGCAGCCTCTGCAGCTCCGTTCGATCCACCGGCCAGGGAGCTACCCACATGGCACTGCAGACCTTTCCTGGCTCACCCGCTGCTCCCCTCAGCAGTGTACTTCGGTCAATCTGCCTGTTCTATTCCCCACTCTGTCTCTGGTGAATCCTTTCAACTCCAAACCTCTGGCCTGTAAACCAGCTCTTGTATGCATAAATAAATTAAAAAAAAAAAAAAAAAGCTTGCCAGAGTGAGAATGTTCCAAGCAGAAGTAACTTCTGCAAAGTCCTCTAAAAGCGGACAGGGCGAGGCATCTGGGAATGCGCTTCCCCCATTAATGGGCACTTGAGCCCACTTATCCTGTCCAGATTAGATTCTCTCTGTGGCAAAGACCCCCCAGGGAGACACTCCCTGGAAATCAAATGGAGGTTGCACTCACCTTTCAATCATGTACTCCAGGTTGGTCAGTCTCGCTTCCCCCGTGGAGACGATGTGGACAGCGTATGAGCTGAGGGAGCGGTGGATAAACCCTCGGGAATGCAGGTATCTAAGGGCATCTGAGACCTGAAGCAGCAGGTGCACGATCACCTCCATGTGCAGCACGGGGAACTGGGCCCGCTGCAAGTGAGAGAGAAAAGGGAGCCAGGAGTGGAAGGGAACAGCAGCGACATCTTAAAATGTTCTGTTATTTCCAGTCTTTTCAATTATCCTCACAGCTACCTAGTGTTCTCATTTTACAAGTGAGGAACCTAAAACTCAGAGAGGCTAACTGGCTGGTGTAAGGTCTCACTGACCCAGGCTTCCAGGCTCCAGACCTGAGCTTCTTTCCATCACTGAGCTACTTCAGACCACAGAAAATAAGGAGAAAGTTCTGAAAGCCTGGTGTGTGCATCAGGAATGGCCTGGGGAAAACAGCCAGGCCCACCACCAAAGAACCTTTCCCCCAACCTCTCCAAGCCTGTGCTGCTGGGAGAACGTGGAAATTTAAAGAACCAGTGCAGCCCCTATTCCAGTCAGGTCACCGAGAAAGCACTTCCAAAGGGGCAGACACTCACTCCACCAACACACCTGGCTGATTAAAGTTAATGGCAGAGAAATGGTATTTTAACATAATGCCTTCACCCACGGAAAAGAAAGAAAGGAAAAACAGACCACTAATAGGTAGTCCTCCGCAGGAGGAATGGCTGGGCCTTTGGGGAAGGGCCCTTTCTGACGGGTCTCCCCACTCCTGCCCAGCATCTGTAGAACAAAGTCATGGAGAAAAAAAACCCAATTTGGGGAGGGATGGTTCTGAAGCCACATCTCAGCCCAGAGCATGTATCCCAGGGAGTCTGTGGGCCAGAGAAGCTGTTCACTCCTCCCCGGAAATCCGAAAAGGGACTGAAAAGAACCTCTATATAAAGAAACCTCTCTCTACAGCAAAGATCCAGAACAGCAAAAGTGAAAATGGGGAAATAAGTGCCTCTTTGACCACAATTAGCGAGAAATGTGTTTTTCTGGGCCTGCTGAGCTCTCAGATGCCTGATAAAGAAGTAGGGCTGGCAATAATAAAACAGCCCAACTCTGCCAGTCCACATGCTTATCGGCCTAAACAGCGTGTTCTATAGCCCCATAAGGAAAGGACACAGAGCCAGCTTCTGTGCAGGCACAAATGAGAGCTCCCCTGCTGGGCGAGAAGCGGCCAGGGGGTGAGGGAGGGAGGACAGGAAGGGAAAATGCACAGAGACAGCTGCCTACCCGCTCATGGAGGACGCTGAACAGTGTGCCCACAGTGATGCGCTCGTATACCAGGCGGGTCTTCTCCAGGTCCTGGGACAGGCACACGGCCATCAGCTGCAGCAGGTGGGGGTGCCGCAGCTTGCTGCAAAAGCAAAGAAGTCTCAGGCCAGACTTGAGGAAGGAGGACATGATGGAAAAATAGGAGGCTGCCTGTCTTCTAGGTCCCTTGAACGCATTCCAAACACTATCATTCCCCTACAATATTTTACTATTGTGGGTGGGGGTCGGGGGATCTCTATTGATGCAATCTGTGGCCTCTCACTGATCAGACCCTGAAGATTTAGAGTCATTGATGAGGGTCACTGAGCAAGACACATTGCACACATCATCTACGTCCTAACAAGCACCTACAAGAAACAAGATATGCTCTTGAGGGGCCTCCCAGGTGGCGCATGGGTTAAGACGCAACCTATGAAGCTATCCGCAGCCACTGCAGCACAAGTTCGATTCCCAGAGGCCAGGGAGCAACCCACATGACGCAGCAGACCTCTCCTGACTTGCCCGCTGCTCCCCCCAGCAGTGTACTTTGGTCAATCTGTCTGTTCTGTGCCCCACTCTGTCTCTGGTAAATCCTCACCCCCCAACACCTCTGGCCTGTACCCCAACTCTTGTATGCATAAATAAATACATCTTAAAAATATATATATATGCTTGGGCCTCCCTGGTGGCTCAGCAGTTGACCCCTGGGTTGCGAAACTGCCGGCAGCCTCTGCAGCGCCGGTTCAATCCCCAGCCGCCAGGCGAGGATCCCACATGGTGCGCAGACCTCTCCTGCTGCCTGCTGCTCCCCTCAGCAGTGTATTTCGTTGGTCTTTCTGTTCTGCTCTCCGCTCTGGCTCTGGTGAACTCTCTCACCCTCCCGCACTTCAGACTGTACCCAGTGCTTGTGTAAATAAATAAATCAATAAATCTTTAAAAAAAAAAAAAAAAGATATGCTCTTGAGGAAACTACATCAGAAGGACCACAGGAACTTGCCCCTAGTGAGTCTCACATCAAGCCTATGCTGTGTCTATGAGTCCTTCCAGCCTCCCAGGGGCCTCTTAGTCTAATTTCCTAAAAAGGAAGAGTTTGGCTTTTGACACACCTCTGTAGGAGCTAAGGAGCCTTCTCAGGAGCCTGAGTGCATTCCAAGGCCTCAGTAACTGAGTTGAGACCACAAATTAAGAGCCCACCCCAGTAAAAGCTGAAGGACTAATGCTGTGGAAGCCTAGGTTCTGAGACCCATGGGTGGGTCTTCAATGGCTTAGTCACACTTCCTCAGATGTATGGATCTCATACACTTATGCTCTATGAAGACAGGGACACTGTCCAGGATGGGCCCACAGCTGAAAATGGGGCAGGTCTCAAGGGCTGGAGCCAGAGAGCCAGTGAGGCCTGCAGGCTGGACCATCCAGAGACAAGGTTATGGGGAGCCAATCAGTTGGCAGAATTGAGCCCCTCACCACCACCTTCCCTACTTGTCAGGCCGTTAATTCATTCCTTTTTCTGTTTCTTGGCAGCCAACAGGAGTCAAATTAGCCAACCATCAGAAAATGCAGAGGCTGAGGAACACAACCCTGCATAGCCCAGAACCCAGCTCTGTCCTATAGTGGGGAGTGGGGGAGCCCTTCTCACCTGCTGTGCTCCTGCTCAGCAATTAATAGGTCGGCCAGCCGCAGCCTGCTGCAGTGTGGGTGCGTGGGGAGATTCAGCTCCTTCACCGTGACCCTGCTCCCATTCCACACCAGGCTGCATAGGTAGGAGAGTGTAAACAGAAGGACATGAGTGAGCAGTCAGCTGAATGAGGAGTTCTCCCAGCCACAGACCAGAGAAGTGGGGTTTACACAGAATCTTCAAAGTCCCTGGGCACCAGTGGGTACTCCCTCCTCCTCCCCCACGTCCTGAAGCACCTTGGGAGGGCTTGGAATAAGTGGCAGGAACTCACTGAAGGGCATGGGGAGGGCACCAATCCATCAGGTTTGTACTTTAGAATACAACAGCACCAACAGTACTGGAAGGGGCTGTCCAGGGGCTGGGAGGCCACTTAAGGGCTCATCTGGGCAAGGGAGGCTGATAACTTGGACAGACAAGAAGAAACCAATCCGTGGCATGGGCAGGGAAACAAGGAGTGTATCTCAGCCTTGAGAGGCTAACAGGGGCCCTTTGAGATGTTTCTCCTAAGCAGGGAAGGAGCCCCCAAGCTCAGGGAAGTTAAGAGACCTTGTCTGGAACAACTCCCCATGATTCCACAGGGTTGTGAAGTCTTGGGAGACTGAGAATACCCAGAGGCTTTTGTCATGGCCAGCTCCTGTTATCGCAGCCTCTGCTGCATTTGGCTGAGGAGAGTCACTGTTGATGGTGATCTAGCTTCAACGAGGCCTCAGTTACCTTCTGGCTGGCGCCAGAGGTCACATAGTAACTGGTGAGTCACTTCTAACACTCCAAAAAACACAGAGGTTACAACACTGTCAGAGATTTGGCGATGTTTGTAGACATTCTTGTTCTCACAATCACAGCTGCAAGGGAGAGGGGTACCGGGTGCTGCCACTGACATCTACTGGGTAGAGACCAGGGGCACTCCCAAACATCCTACAGTGCACCGGTGGTCCCTGCCACAAAGACAATGGTGTCAGGGTTGAGAAACCCTGACTTAAACACGCATACTTCCGTGTTTCCATGTGTTTGCACAGAAACCCTCCACACGTAAGGAAGTCACAGGAAGTCCATTCTTCCTGTGGGACGAAATCAGACCAACCCACTGGCTGTTTCCACTTACTTGGTCATGACCATGTAGGGGCCACTGAAGAAAGAGAAGGTGGGCTCGTCGTCAGCTTGGATCACTTCCTTTTCTCCAATCACAGGAAGGGATCCTAGATAGGCGAGCTGCGTCCCCCCTGTGAGATAAAACTGAAAACAAAGCGCAGCTTCAAATTGTGGGGAGAAAGAGGAAAAGTTCTATCTCCAGAATTTTATCATCCAGTTAAAGACAATGACAGTTGCTATTTGACAACTTGCTGAATACCCCCTACACCCTTATAACAGAGTTGTAAGTCTGGAACTTATAAGTCTTGAACTTAAAACTCTTCAAGGTTGGAATATTTTCTTTTACTAGTGAGGAAACTGAGGCTCATGGAATGAGGTCAGACACCTGCCTAAATTGCCTGCCTGGGACGCAGGGGCCTCTTGGGGCCCCCAGAGAATGCAGACCTCTGTGCAGCCAATGTCAACCTTCTTCCTCCCCAACACCCTCACCCCAACCTCAGGCTGGACTGAGCTACTGGCTCAACCAGCAACAATTCCCTACTCTCTCTCTCTCTCTTTGATGGGCAGAACCAAAGACCTAGAAGAGACTATTTTCCCTCAAATATTTCTCAGTTTAAAATCTCAGTTTCTTAAAGGCATTCCAACAATGCTATAACCCCAAGGAGGACAAGGTCAATCACAAACAAGCACAGCTCTCTGCCTCTCTTCAGTGAGAACATATCTAGTGCCTTCCCTGGGAATTAAAGGATCATTTTCTAAACTCCCAAAATCTAGCTCAGGGTCACTCAAGGGAACCCTGCAGGGTTTTCTTCAGTTTCTAGTAAAGACAGGAACACTGCCCTGCAAAGTAGGTAAAGAAGGGCAGGAGGGAAACCACTTTGGAGAGGAAGGAAGAGTTGGACACACTCCTCAGTGGGAGACACGGGGCCAGAGGCAGGGCCAGCTGACTCTAGCAGTGTTGGTTGCCAAGGCAACCTCTTACCTTCCCAAAGCCGAAGCTGTAGATGTTTTGGGCAGAAATGACTCCAGCTTTAAGCAGTCGATTAGGAGAACCATTAGGGCTTCTAGAAATATTTGAATGGAGGAGAGAGAAAAAATAAAGATTAACCACCCACATCCAGAGGAATGATGCTGAACCAAGTTTTTATAATATATACTTGGTTTTGCCTTTACTACCTGAATTTTACCATGGATTTACAGATGATGTACTAGTCAGCTCTGAGATGGGCCTGGGATTCCCGCTCCTATATCCTGCCCTATGTAATCCCTCAGGTAGGGCTGACCTGTTACCCTTGAGGGTATAGCAGAAACAACAAAGTGTGATTCCAAGGCTAGATCCACCTGGGCTTCGGCCCTGATCACCCTTGCATCACTTGCTCTGGGGGAACACTTCGTGGACATCTGAGCCGCCTGATAGAGAGGCCTGACACCCAGCAGTCTGTCAATGCCTCATGTGAGTGCCTCACCTTAGAACTAGATCTGCCAGTCCCAGTCAGGCCTTCAGATGATGCAAAAGCAGAGGAAATCAACCTGGCAAGACTTCCTAACATAGAAACACTGTGAAGAAAGCCCCCACTGGTCCCTAAATGTGGAGAAACGTGGGGCCCACCTCCCCACTTCCTGGGCTATGACTGGAAGAGGAAGGGCTGCCCACGGAGCTAGCAAGTCTCTTAGACCAGTTTAAAATATCCCAAGGACCATAAATTAAGAGCCTGTGGTCTTCTGCAAGCTTAATAACAAAAAAACAAACTTTCCATGGTTTGGGAGTTGACAAAATGCCAGCCAGCTGCCCTGCTGCGAGAGGCTTTTCTGCTGGACTCCCCAGACCTGGAAAGTTCTTTCCCTGCTAAGCACAGGACTGCTCCCACTGAGCCTGCACACATTCCCGGAGTGGGAAGATGACTCGTCTGCCCTTCCTTGTCCAGTGGCACATGTGGCCCTTCTGCCCTCAATTCTTCAGCTGGGCTAGATGCCACCGGTGGGGCCCAGTGTGGAGGAAGACTGGAGGGATGCATAGCAACCCGCTTGGCTCAAGGCAGACTCACCCCGGCATGAGGCCCCCAAATCGGGGAAGGCTGCTGACGAGCCGCTGAGGGGAGTCGATTTTCTTCAGGAGGTCATAGGAGAAACCCTGGATGATGGCCTGCATATGCGCGGCACAGCGCTGCATGAACTCCACCATCTGCAATACAGCCAGAGATGCTCAATGCAGGCACACACCCCTCAGGGTATGAGCGGGTGGGAGCGCCCATCTGGGAACTCTAGAATGGAAGGGCCCAGGTGATTCTCTAAAGGAATGGAATGTTTTCAGGGAGAGGATCTGGCAATAAATGCCACCCCTTGAGAGATGAGGAAAGTGAGGCCGGAGGAGTGAGAAATTACTTGTCTAAGGCCCAACAGCTAATAAGCCGAGGGAGGGAAGGGAAGGCAGGCAGGGGACTCTACCCATGGCTCTCTTCCCTGTGCCCTGCACGGAGCACGGAGCCTCTGTGCTTCACACTTAGGTTATTTAGTCCTCATTTGAACACGTCACACCTGCCAGTGTGTGGCCTCAGGCAAGTAACTTAATGTCAATGAGCCTCAGTTTCCCTCAGGTGTCCTTTGTAATATGGGAACAACAATAGTACCTTCCTGAGAAGGTTGTTATGAATAAATATTTAGTTTAATTTGCAATGTCTTATATGTGGTAGAAATGCTGGTTAAAGGTCAGGCAAAATCACCATTGGTTTCATTTCCTGCTAAATGTATGCTCGCAAAGGCTCAGCAGACTTGCCCAATGTTTTGCAGCTGGTTGACTTGTTTCAATTCAGGCTTGTGTGTCTGGGGCCAACGGCAAGGCCACTGTGAATCCTGCTGTCCGGGGGCCCAGCTGCTGCCCCAGGTTCCGGTCTCCCAGCCCCGGGCCCTGCCTGTGTGTAGCTGCCCAGCGGCCTCCTTACTGCAGTGCTGCGCTCCTTCCCTGCCGCCAGGGCCCAGGTCTGTGGGTTGCGACCCTTCTCGTCGTGCAGTCGAAGGTCTCCCCCTGCGTCCAGCAGTTTGCTGAGGATCCACTGGTTGCCTGAAAACGCTGCTGCGTGCACTGGGGTGCTCCCATCAAAGCAGCGGCTGGGGTGGGGGGCAGGGTTCACAATGAGTATCTACAGCAACGCTCCTGCCTCCCAGGGAGCAAACCCAATAGGTAAGATGGGCTCTTTCTACAAAGACAATCTTCGGTGATGAGGGTTATAACTCCACTGTGAGGCCCCTGGTCTATCCAACAGCAGCCGCACACACACCCCTTCTTCATCCTTATGTCCACCCTCCCAGGCCACATCATTCCCCAATTTAGAGAGGGCACAGTTGGGAATCAAACCCAGAGGGTCTTGTTCCAAATCTGGTGTTCTTTTCCCCTCTGACCCTCACACCGGAAGGCCTGAAACAATTTCTGCAAGGCTGTAGTGCCTGCGGTCAGGCTGGTGAAACTCAGTCTAAGCAGAGGCCACCTCTCTTACGTGGGACTGCCTCTATCTCCCAAATTTGATGGGAGAAGTCCCCAGGCCCTTCAGCAGGTCAGCAACCTGGTCAAGGAGCTCCAACTCAGAAAAATGGAACCAAACTAACTGAGAGAAGAAGGGATGGCCCTTGGTGGGTCCAGGATGCAGTGGGGTGTGATACATAGCCTGGCTACACATCAGAATCACCAGAGCATGTTCCTTTGAATTTAAAAAAAAAAAAAAAAAAAGCACAAATGGGAAGAGGAAGGAAAAAAGGGAAGGAGAAAATACAAAATGAAAGAGGAGGAAGACAAGGTGAAAATAAGCAATCTCCCAATTCCAGACCTGCAGTTCTTTTGCTCAGAGGCAACTACCCCTACATACCGTTGAATGCTTCCAGAAATTTCCTATTCATATTCAAGTAAGAAGAATATGCTACAATGACTGTTCTATATCTATTTTTCTTTTTCAATTAACAATCTTTCTTGGAAACATTTCCATATGAGAGAATACAAGCCACCTCCATTTTTTTAAGTAGCTGTGTAACTACTTCAATACAGGGGTGTAGCATACTTTAACTAATGAGCCATTGAGCCATGTGTCAAAAGCACAAATTCTCAGGCTACACCCCAGACTGATTCATAATCTTCACGCAGAGGATCCAGGAATGAATACCTTTTATAAGTTCCCAGGAGGTGCCAAGGAGGCTGGCTCTAAGGCAGCTAGCCTGCACTCAGCATTTGGGAACCACTGGGTTGTCTTAGGGTGAGCGGCCTCTGGGCCCAAGGAGCGGTCCAGCACAATGAACAGGGGAAAAAAAAAATTGTATATGTTTTAGTCTTTCTCATCATCCTTCCCACAAATAGAAAGTGGGGGGCCAGGGGTGAGAGAAAGCACTAGTTTCACTTCTCATGAATGCTAAAGAAGAAGGGAATTTTTTTGTATCTAACTAAAGCATCCAAGGGAATCCAGATCAAGGGATATCAGAGAGATCTGGCAAGGCAGAGGCATGTTTTATTTGGTCTGCATAATGTTTAAAAAAGAGGTAAAAATAATGAACAGTATTTAGTATTTGGCAGATTTTGCACTAAAAATTGGGATTTTCAGTCTCTTAGAAATTTGCAAAATCTGGCCTCCCTGGCTTCCTTTCCTGTACAGCAGCAGTAGATGCCGATGCACCTGAGACAGGGCCTGTGCCCACTGTCCCCACTAGACCCTGCAAGCATCCAATTCTATGACCTCGAAAGACACAGATCATCAGAACATTTCCACTGAGCACTCACAAATACAACCTCCTCCCAGAAATTTCCCTGGATGGAAGGGAATTTCAGTCACATGAAAACATTCCAATTACAAAATACAAAGCCATAGGGTTAGTCCTCCCATCTGCCCCTGGCACTAGGGGTACTTTTAAAAGGGGGTTCCTTCAAACTGAGTTCTTCAGGGGCTGGGCTCTTGGTCTCAGGTCTGCCATTTACAGAAAGCAACATTATGGGCCACTCAAACTTTCTGGACCCCAGTTCCCTAATCTGGCATATTAAATGTTTGAATTATTTGATCTTCAAAGGACCTACCTTTTAGCCTCCACAAAAGAGACGTACATGCAGCTGACTGAAAAATGCTGCCTTTTTTCTAAGGGATTCAAGGTGGCCTCCCTACAAAGCTGTTACCTGCAAACATCGAGGAGCTAACTCTTCATGAGCTTTGAAGATAAACATTAATATAGTACGGACAGGGGCACAAGGGGTTAAGACACAACCTATGAAGCTATTCGTAGCCTCTGCAGCACTAGTTCAATCCCCGGCCATGGAGATGACCCACATGGTGCAGCAGACCTCTCCTATCTCGCCCACTGCTCCCTTCAGCAGTGTATTTCAGTCAGTCTGCCTGTTCTGTTTCCCCACTGTCTCTGGTGAATCCTCTCACCACCCACAACTCTGGCCTGTACCCCAATTCTTGTATGTATAAATAAATAAATCTTAAAAAAATATATAGTAGGGACAAAAGAGTATATGTGAGTCTTGAAAAAATACAGAAGAAAACACAGCAAAACATTCGCTGTGTTATTTCTGCCTTATAGAATTCTCCCTCATTGATTTTTTCTTCATACTTGTCCAAGTTTCCAAGTTTTCTCCCACTATGAAAGCAACCCTTCCAACATCATAGGGCTTTTTCCGCCCCCCCCCCACCCATTAGGGCTTTTTAAGAAGTATTTTAACAGGGTCTTCTTATGTAAAATAGGAAAGCTATTTCATGGCTTATATGATTGTTCATGTTCTTGGATCTCTTTGAAAATCTGCTGGAATCATGTAAATGCTTCAAAGTCCATTTCTGGTTCTGTCCATTGGGAACTATAAAAATACCTGCTCTCCCTCACTGTCAAGAAGGTCATTGTAAAACACGAATAAGCTAGGTCTTGGGAAAAGGAAAAGCACCACACTGATTAATGACATCATGTTACTATTCCATATTAAAATATGGACAAATTATTAAACTCAGATTCTTTTAAACAACTACAAGGCAAAAGTCATCCTGACAAGTCATGCCAAGTATATTAGTTGGTGGAAAAAGTGGTTGTGAACAAAGAACTCAGTTGTGAAATGTTAAATTGTGTAAGCAGATCATACAAATTATAACCTAGAAGTAGAAAGTCATTAATTAATTAGTGACTAATAAGTTCCACTTAAACACTTCGTAAGGCCTAGAAAAAAATTTTTAGCAGTTAAGTTATATTTCAACATATGTATACAATTGTATTTAACTGATATAAACTAGCAAAGGTTCTTTTAATACCTTGTCAAAGTAGTTTCCAAATGCCTGTCATTTTTTTTTGTTACTTAAAATTTTTCTTACTTCAGTCCTCCCTGCTGGTACAAAGGGTTAAGCACAGGCATCGTCAAGCTATCTGCTCCGTGGCCAGGGAGCAACCCACATGGTGCAGCAGACCTCTCCTATCTTGCCCACTGCTTTCCTCAGCAGTGTATTTCGGTCCGTCTGCCAGTTCTATTCCCCACTCTGTCTCTGGTGAATCCTCTCACCCCACTGTACCTCTGGCCTGCACCCCAGCTCTTATACGCATAAAAAATAAATAAATCTTTAAAAAAAAAATTTCTTACTTCTACTTCCCAATTCATCTTAGGGGCATAATACTTATTTTTCCAGATGTTGTACTTACTGATTTGGATCTGATCCATAATCCACCAGAACATCAACTAATTTCATAAGGCCTAACAATGCTGCAATGAAAAGTGGTGTCTGGCCCAGGGAGTTAACTGCATCAACATAAATTCCTGCAAAGCAAATACAAAGGCAACTATCAGGAAACTTACTGATACAACACAAGGGGAGAGAACTGTACAGTACCCTCATGTACTACTACCACAATTTTTTTTAAAAGAAAGAAAAATTGAATGGATCCCCCTGGGTGGCACAAGGGTTAAGTCTTAGCGCTATCAAGCTATCCACAGCCACTGCGGCATGAGTTCGATCCCCGGACAGGGAGAAACCCACATGTCGCAGCAGACCTCTCCTGTCTCGCCCACTGCTCCCCTCAGCAGTGTATTTCAGTCATTCTGCCTGTTCTGTGCTCCACTCTGTCTCTGGTGAATCCTCTCACAACTCCACTCCCACCCTGCAACTCTGGCCTGTACCCCAGTTCTTGTATGCATAAATAAAAATAAATCTTAAAAAAAAAGTAAAATTGGGCCTCCCCGGTGGCGCAGCGGTTGAGCACTGGGATGCGAAGCTGCCCGCAGCCTCTGCAGCGCCAGTTCAATCCCCGGCTGCTCCCGGGCCACCGGAGGAGGGTCCCACATGGCGCACAGACCTCTCCTGTCTTGCCCGCTGCTCTCCTCGGCAGTGTATTTCAGTCCTTCTGCCTGGTCTGCTCCCTGCTCTGACTCTGGTGAATTCTCTCATCCTCCCGTGCTTCTGACTGTACCCAGTGCTTGTATAAATAAATAAATAAATAAATCTTAAAAAAAAAAAAGTAAATTTGAGTCTTAACTAATTGCACAGGCACAAAACACCACAGATCAACCCATCTACAAGGCAAGGGAGGTGTTATTCATTAAAAAGGTCTCGTACTGACCATAGCCTTCACTGTGGAATAAGTACATAATAATGGGTAAAAGAGGTTCTCAATATTCAGATGTTAAAGGGAATTTTAAATATATGCATGTTGAAAAACACAGAAAACTACAGTTAAGATAAGGCATGCTAACAAGTGGAAATTACCTCAACTTGAAAAAACCGTTTTAAAAAGGCAACTCCTGGGCCTCCCTGGTGGCCCAAGGGGTTAAGCACTGCACCATGAAGCGATCCACAGCCTCTGCAGCACGAGTTCGATCGCCAGCCGGCCAGGCAGCAACCCCCATAGCAAAGCAGACCTCTGCTGACTCGTTCGCTGCTCTCTTCAGCAGTGTGCTTTGGTCGATCTACCGGTTCTGTTCCCCACCTGTCTCTGCTGAATCCTCTCACACCACCACCCCATCTCTGGCCTGGACCCCAGCTCTTGTATGCACAAAGAGATAATCGTGTACGCCAATTAAAAGCCTTAATAAACCAGATTGGAAACTTACTTACTTTTAAAGATTTATTTATTTATACAAGCACTGGGTAGAGTCAGAAACGCGGGAGGGTGAGAAAATTCACCAGAGCCAGAGACAAAAGCAGAAGAGGCAGATTGACGAAATACACTGCTGAGGGGAGCAGAGCGAATGGCAGAAAAGGTCTGCGCGCCATGTGAGACCCTCACTGCTGGCTGGGGATTTGAATAGACGCAACAGGCAGCCGCCTTGCAACCCAGCGCTCCACCCCCAGGTTGAAATTCAAACACCACACATGAATGCTACTAAAACTCTTAAACATCAAAATAAGGGGGAAGAAAAGCCTTCTCTTGCTGAAAACCAGTAGTAAAAAAAAGGAAGCCACTCAGACTGCGTCCTCTCCCTCTAACTCTCCAAAATGGAGAGAAGAACGATCATCAATGGCAGAGAGCAGTTGCGTAAGCAACACTCAGAGCCGGCTTCACGCTCAGGAAAGGACGCTGCGCCTCCTCCTCGTGGTTTCCGGTGCTCTACACGATCAGAGAAACTTCTCTAGTAACGAACTATAGAAATGATCCCTGAAAGTATAGTCTTAGCGAAAGAGCCTGCCCCTTCTGGAGTGAGTAAGACCCACACATATTACAGTAATGGTGGTTTTTCTTCGCGGACTACTATTTCGAAATGTATACTAGTGCGCCTTTTATAAAGTTCATTTTCATGACCACAGCTGGACAAGGCATTTCAAATTCCACTTTAACTACATTAAATGTTTCCAAAGACAGTTCAAGCCGCCACTTAATTAACATACTGTTGCTGAACAGCCAATCACACGCCAGCTGCTCCCAACCCCGCCCCCGTTCCCCGTGGCAATTCCGTTGGCGGCAGGATGAGTCGCAATGCGACTACGAAGTGCGCGGGGCGTCGGGAAGCGCCTTTGCTTAGTCAACGACGTGAAGCTGGGAGAGGAGGCCTTTCAAGAGGAAAACGTAAACGAAAAGTGTATGGTAAAAGCTACTAATCAAAAACTAGTAGAACACGCCCAATTTTTAAACGTTATCCTGTAGTCAAAATACCAGACCTGTAACTGCCTTTTCGACTTAAATCAGGGAATTTTTATTTACATAAAAATTATGTACATAATTTAATTGTTAATTAAGTGGCAGCTTGAGCTGTCTCTGGAAACATTTAAAGTAGTTAAAGTGGCATTATGTAATTCAGGGCCTCCCTTGTGGCACAAGGGATTAAGCACAGCACCGAGCAACTATCCCTACCTAGCCTCTGCAGCATCAGTTGTCTCTCCTGACCGCCAGGGAGCTCCCCACATGGCGCAGCAGACCTCTCCTGTCTCGCCTGCTGCTCCCCTCAGCGGTGTATTTCAGTCAGTCTGCCTGTTCTGTTCCCTATTCTGTCTCTGGTGAATCCTCTCACCTCCTACACCTCTGGCCTGTACCCCAGTTCTTGTATGCAAAATAAATAAATCTTTAAAAAAAAAGAGAAACTCAACTTCCAGTACACACAAAAAATAGTAATAAAGGGTTTATTTACAAAAAAGGGGAAATGAATAACTCAGGGAGAAAGAGAGAGAAATTGGTGAATGCGTCCTACCAGTTTCACTGAGTTGCAACCCCAATAACACACTGAAAGCTGGCGAAAAACCAAGGACCCCCAAGGTCCACATGTCTGGCATATACCAAGCCTGGCTGCCTAACTCCACTCTCAGTTCTCAGCAATCCACCCTTTGGTGGTGATTAACAAATGGGCCATGTAGTCCTTGATGTCTTGGATCTCTTTGGTCTGGGGTGGGGTCCATAAAACCTATTTGCTTATAAAAAAAATTAAAGAAATAAATTTATTTTAAATTTTTTTCAAAAAAAGCACCTAGAGGGCCTCCCCGGTGGCACAGCGGTTGAGCACTGGGTTGCGAAGCTGCCTGTAGCCTCTGCAGTGCCGGTTCAATCCCCGGCTGCTCCCCGGCCACCGGAGGAGGGTACCACATGGCGCGCAGACCTCTCCTGCCGCCCGCTGCTCCCCTCAGCAGTGTACTTCGGTCCTTCTGCCTGCTCTGCTCCCCACTCTGGCTCTGGTGAATTCTCTCACCCTCCCGCGCTTCTGACTCTACCCAGTGCTTATATAAATAAATTAAAAATAAATAAATCTTAAAAAAACAAAACAAAACAAAAAAGCACCTAGAGTAAAATGGTTGATTTAAAATTGCATTTAACTGTTAATCAAAACCACAGTGAGATATCATCTCATCCCTGTGAAAATGACCTATATCAAAGACTAGAAAAAAATATTGGTGAAGATGTAGAGAAAAATGAATAATGCTCATCCAGTATTGCTGGGAATGTAATTTGGTGCAGCCTCCATGGAAAATGTACACAACTCCGTAAGTGTACATTACAATAACGTGCCAACAAAACTCCCCTGCCAAAGTCCTTTTCTTCCCCACTCTTCCCCACTTCTTCCCCACTATGGGGGGGGGGAGGGAGGGAGGGAGGGAGGGAGGGAGGGAGGGAGGAAGGACGGACCATTAGGACCCAGCAATACCACTGATAGGTATTTATCCAAAGAACATGAAAATGCCAAAATGCAATATGAAAAGATGTATGTTATGTTCAGAGCAGTGTTATTCACAATAACTGAATCATGGAATCAACCTAAGTACCCAATCAGTGCCCAGATGACTGGATAAAGAAATTGTGGTATGTGCAATGGAGTACTATTCAGTGATTTAAAAGGATGGACAAAGTGAATGCATGCATCTTGAGGTGATCATGTTAAATGAAGCAGGTCAGAAAATGAAGTCACCCGATTGTATATGAAAAAAATAACCAAAGGAAAATACTGGCAATGCCAGTATTTGTATGAAAAAGTACAAGTAATTGTTTGAAAAAATATTGGTTAGCAGAGGCAATGAATGGGGGAGGAGTGGGGAAGAAAAGGACTTTGGCAGGGGAGTTGAGTTTTGTTGGCACGTTATTGTAATGTACACTTACGGAGTTGTGAAGTTGTACTCCCAAAATGCTACACAAATGACTGACAAAATTTGAGGCGAAAATTTTTCAGTTAGTAAAGCAAATCACTGAGGGGGGAATTAAGAAAAAAAGAACAAATCACCTTAAAATGCCTAAGGTGGTGAAGATCAAAAATGCCCTTGAAACTATTTTAAGTGGCTTTTTTGTTTGTTTTTGGTAACTCTTATAATGGAATCCACTCAAATACCTAATTGGTTGAAATACAAAAATGAGAATTAAAAGAATGTCAGGAATTTAGCTTATGAAAGAAAAAAACCTCAACAAAACTCGTTTAAGGGCCTTCCCTGGTGGCGCAAGAGGTTAAGCACCGACTTAACGAATCAATCTGCAGCCTCTGCAGCCCAAGTTTGAACCCCAGCAGGCCAGAGAGCAGCCCACATGGCGCCACAGACCTCTCCTGCCTCATCCGCTGCTGCGCTCGGCAGTGTGTTTCAGTCAGTCTGCCTGTTCTGTTCCCCACTCTGTCTCTGGTCATCTCTGGCCTGTACCCCAGCTCTTGTATGCATAGCTGGCCCTCATGTGGGGCAAGCAAACCCCTTGTCTCACCCACTGGTAGTATATTTCAGTAAATCTTGCTCTCTACTCATCTCTGGTGAGCTCCTCAGCCTCCTTACAGACCACAACCCATCTCATGTAAATAAATGAAAAGACAAAACACTTAAAAAGTAAAACCTAGAGAGCATGAGAGAAAAGCAACAAGCGACC